TTTCTCCGACTCTGTTCCCACCAACCTGTGAAACAATATGCGTGCCAGGAGCTGATGTCCAACCATTGCGATTTTCTACACGGGAAAAGAAAGACACTCTTATCTAACATGCAGAATTGCAAACCAGAAAGACAGGTGGGTATCCAAAACATAGCTTAAAGTAGTAAGAATTTAATATGCTTGCATCCTTGCTTAGCCTTAATCTGAGAAGTACCAGTTTGAGGTTCAGGAGAAGGTCGCAAGACAGAGCTTGATTGATGACTATCACCTGCGCCAAAACTGATATAAGGTGGTGTTGAAAAAATGAAAATTTAAAGCACCACTAAGACATGCGAATGCTTACAGATATGTAAATCATCACACCTCACAGATCAGTAAAGAACTGTATCTTTGAAAAACCAAGCATACAAAACTATATTAGAATAAATACCGGAATCAGCATCTTCACAATACGATGACAATCTACTCGTTGGACTTGCTGCTGAATCAATGTTCACAGAAGCTGTGCCACTTAGAGAATTTGAATTGTTTTCTTTCATTCCTATACTTGTCCGGCTACCCTGCATAATTTACAGTATAATATGAACTTGATAACTAGAAAAGGACAATATAATGTGAAACTATAGAAATTTAGATCAATACTAGTAACCGTTGAGACAAGCAAGATTTTTACCTTAACCTCCAAGTAGTGCACAAATACAATATGCATCAATTCTCTGTAACAGTACAACAATAAAAAGAGATATAAGCACAAAAATGAAGACACGCTATGAACTTTGAAGGTACGCTATACTCAACAGAGAACTGAATTATACTTACTGTTCAAGCATCCAGTAGCATCGTCTCTGAAAATTCTCGTTGCCTTCCCCATGAGCATAGTAACAATGTAGGACATCAATGCTTCCTACCTATAAACAATTAAAAAATGCTACTCCCAACAATTTAGATACATTTCACTATCAACTAATAATTAATTCCACATCAATGCTTCCTACCTATAAACATTTGGACAATGCTACTCCCAGCAATTTAGATACACAGTTCACTATCAACTAATAATTTAATTCCAGAACCAAAAAGTAGAGAAAAGAAAGCTCTAACCTTGAGCTTCTCATGAGCTTCTTTAATCGTTTTCCCATCCTTCTTCTTCCTCCAGCAATGTCCGTCTTTCCTGAAATATCTAAGCACCTTCCTATCAAAAAGAAAGAGTGAACCACCTACAAGGGTAGGGAAATGGTGTCAGATTCAGTATCCTCAGACCATCGATACCCTGCAATAGTAAAAACTTACTGGCTGGTCGAGTAGGAGACTCTGTTGCGATATGAAACTTGTGATAGTTCCGAAGGATTTCACAAATCTCAGCAGGCCTAAGCCACCTGTGTTGAGCTTCCGACAACAACTGTTCCATATCTACGAGTTCATAAAGAGGCAAAAAAAACCCCACTGGCATTATTCTCCTATATAACAAATTATAAACACACAATGCAACTACGAACTGAAAAAAATTGCAATTTTCAATACATAAATTCAGCAAACCAATTTCTTTCAGATCAAGAAGATAGCTTGAACAAAAAAAAACAGTATTTTGACAAAACATGCCGAATAACACCAGCAAGAAAATAGAGTAAATAAAGTTCATGAACACTGGAAGGACACAGGTTCGATTCCTTTTGCCTACGAAATGCAGAAGCAAGAAAAAAGATAAAACCTAATCGAAGCTAAACCACAGTGAAGAAGGAAAGAGACCTAATCGAGGAGGGCTAATAAATCCGAAAGATCCACGATCCGCCATAAGAAACAGAAACCCTAATAAATTAACCACCAAGGAGATCTCTAGCTTCCGTAATCCCAAAGAGAATCAACGAACCCTAACCCTAACCGATCTGAGTATTCACGAACTGAGAAGCTTCTTGTGTTTAACTGTTTCCTTCGTCTGAAAGCCAACCCGATATTTTCTTTCTCCCTTTTTTTTCTTTTTTTTTGGTAAATATCTTATTGGAGCGAGACTGAGGATAAAAAAAAAACGCCTTCTTAAATAAATAGCGAATTATGTAACTTATCCAATAAGTATTTGACACGTATACATAAAAGATTTGTCTTGTCTGTACGACATGGTCCATGCCGTAAGATACAGAACTTTTCTATTCAAAAGTGTGCGGCGGCGGTGGAGATTCAACAGTCAAGATCTAATTTCTCAGTGTAACCATATACTCTCAAGAGTGTGATCTATACTTATCGTTATCCGATGTTGATCATTGCCCTCATTCACCATTTTTACAGCACTTGGATTGCAATCAAGGCTCAAAAAGTTCCTAAACCGGATGTAACCAGCATAAACCGGTTAGATTGGGTGATTGAGCCTAGTCATCCAGTTTATATTGATTTAATTTTAACCCGTTAACGTTTGGTTTGAAGACTGATCAATCACTTGACTGCTAGTTTTTCTGGGAAATTATGATCAAAACACTGAATCAATGAAAAGATTGATAAATTGAAATATATATTCAAAAGCATGTATATGCTCATTTTTTAAAACTAAAAACATGTTTTAACTGGGGAAATCTTATGTCAAAAGTACAGACTAACGATATTAAACTTCCACCGGAGAAGCTTCTGCAACCACCTCTTCGTATTCCTTCGTCTCTTCGTTGTACTTGTACCTGCATATGCATAGTTTTATACTCAAAAGTGAGAATCGGAGAAGATCAGAGACGAAACCATGTTCATTTCATTAACTGAAAAAGATGTTTAGAGGGCAAAACACATGGATAACTAAACAAGCCTAGTTTTTTCTTAATATCTATTATCTAAAGTAGCTGGAAGCAAATTACCATTTACCGGTTGCTGCATAGCAGTAAAGTCCAGTGTTCGGATCATAGTAGTAACCATTGCTGCTGCTGTAGTAGTACCTGAAAAACATCAAGTGTATGTTGTACAGCTTTAAAATGCATTCCAGGTAAAACAAAAGAGCTTCATAACACAACACTTTAGCGCAAAATCTGACTGATCAACGGAGATATAGAGAGGGAGAAATTGAGAGTTTAAAACCGTACCCTGAAGACTCGTCATAGACATAATCAGATCCATCATTTGTCACCCCTTGTTGCACGGGTGCAGCTGTATCTTCTTCGTCATCACCAAACATATCACAATCTTTTTCTCTTTCTCGAGCCAGTCTCTCATATTCATCTAAAAGAATAGCATAGAGGAGAAAATAATTCAAGCAAAGCTCATTGTTCCCTAGTGTTGAGAAAAAAGAAATATCATGAGATTTTTAAAAAGTACTAGTTGTTCTAACCTACTTCCCGCTGAAAAACTTGCTGCTCCTCGTTATAGACATCTACAATACATAAACAAGAGAAACTAATGTTAATAAATGGAAGACATTCTATTTTCATAGCAAAATTTATGTGAGACTTAACTGTAATCGCCATTCTGGGTGAGCTTGTTGGCATCCTCAGTAAGCTGATCAAAGATGAGCTTTGTCTCAGAACTCATCTTCTCTTTCCGATTATTAGAGTTCCCTTTCAACCTCCTTAAAGCACGCAGGATCTATCATAATGAAAACCCAAGTTATGCATAATCAACAATGCTACCTCAAACTAATATTTTTAACTAATCTAATCCGCGTTTCATGTTCTGAAACAATTACTTGTTAAAACCCAAATAGACTCTCACCGTTTCCCCTGGTTCAAGGACGTTAGCAATACGCCTCTTCAAGACTCCAATATCTTCCTGAGAAAGTTCATCCGCTGGCTTCTCGTCCCCACCTTCTTCATCCTTCTCAGTATCATTAGCAGCAGATCGTCCAATATACAACGGATTCATTTCAATACTGTCAAGCCATGCATCCTGAAACGAAAAGAAAAACATGTAAGACAACCCACAAAACACTTAGAAGCTAAACTTAACAATAAAAAATGTCTATTACGCACCTTGTCTTCCTTCTCCCTAACATACTCAACATAGTTCCCATCACCATCAAAGTATCCTTCCTCTTTCTCTCTGTCAAGACTAAAAGCTTCAATCTGGATCCCATCTTCCGTGCGGTTCCCATCATTCTACAACAAAGATAATCACATCAGAATAAACAGCTTCTCTCTAACATATAATCGTATCAAATCACTAACCTCATATATCTCCTCGGCCTGATCATCACCGTCATCATCGATAAAGAGCCCAGTAATATTCTGCTTGCGAACCCGCGCACGCTCCAGAGCAGCATCACGAGCTTGGCGGCGAGCTACAGTGTCCTCCTCCACGACCTGCTCAGGTTTAGGTTTCTTCCCCTTGGGAAACCGTACTCGCTTTTCTCTGCCAGAGAGAATCCAAATCTTAGCGTATGCACAACGCAAGTTGTATACAAAACGTAGGCACTGTAACTGACAGATAATCATCGGAAACCGATTAATAATACTCCCAAGACAAATGATGAATTCCTTTGAACGATTTCTCTACTCTAATCTAATCAATCAATTCCAGATTCAATACATCGCGTCATCATAACGCAGATAAAACGACGAAGAATTCGGAAAATTAGGGTTTCGGAGAAGTTAGTAAACTTACGGTGGTTGCTTGTCGGAATCTTCATCTTCTAGGAAGGATCGCTTGAGGTTCTTCCGCGACGAACTCTCTGCCATTTTTGTAACGTTCAAAGACGACGACGACGACGATTTTTAGCTTCCCAGCGGTGAAAAGATGATGTGTCGACCAAAACGGAAAAGGAAAAGAAGAGGCGAAGAGACGAAACTATAAACTCTCGCCGAAGATAGAAATAAACGGGCCTGGCCCATTTAAATTCCCAATAAGGCGGCAAACCAAACCGGTTTAATATTAACCGTTTGGGACACACCAAAAGGCCAGTCTAATGAGCTTAAACCATTTAAATCAAAATTCCAAATTAGGCAGCGAACGGCTTTAGCAAACCAACCCGGTTTAAAATAAAACGCAGACGTTTAGCACACAATAAAAAGGCCCTAAATCTAGGTGTATCTCTTCACCGCCGATCATCCTCTTTTCGTTCGCCGTCACTGAACGAAACGATCGCCGATCAACCAGACTTCGAGTCGCAGGTCAGGTTTCTAAACCATGATTTCAAGTTTTCAACACCTTTTTTCTCGTTTATATACACTATTATTAACTCAAATCTTCTTAATATGGTCTCAAAGGTTTTAGAACTCAATTACAATGGAGCAGAAACCACCAGTGCGGAAGGTTCGTCCTAATCGATATCATCTTTCACCGTCTTTCATCCCAGTTTAAGTTTTTTCTGCTCTGCTAAAAAGTTTCGTTCTGCAGATGAAGTTCGCGCCAAAAGCTCCTCCGAAGCGTGCGCCAAAACCGGAAGTTAAACCGTAATCATCTTCTTTTTTTAATCATTGTCCTGATTAACATAAGCAAAACGTTATCTTAAGGTCGATTTTGGCTTATGAAATCTGATTTAAATTTTTCTGCAGTGAAGTGGTTGAGGATGATAATAACAGTGCACAAGCAGCGGAGTTGCTACGTAGAGTCACTGTAAGCTTTCGTAAATCGATTTTTACTCTTTATCGTTTCATGTTTGGTTTTCTCAGTCTTGTTGGATTTTGATTTTAGGAAAGATCATTACGTAGGCCAAAAGGGGAGAAGAAAGGTAAATACCTTTTAACTTGAAACTTTGACTCTTTTTCTAACTCTTTTGAATACAAGTGATTTGAGTTTTTTTTGTTTTGTTTTGGGCATTACAGTTGCTGCTTCTCAAGTTGCTTGGATGGGTGGTGTGGTGAATTCAACTAGGTCAAATAGGTTCTCCAGTGGATATGGTACTATTCATGTTACTGGTTTTCAAGTTGTAAGAAGTTAATTAATCCGCAGAATGGGTGATTCATGCTGTTTTCCTCTTGTGCAGCTGGAGGTTATGGTTCAAATGCTCCGCAGGAGATATCATATCAAGAACCATGGGTGAGTACTACAACATTAACCCGTTATATGATATGGAACTCAATATAATGATGTAATGAAATGACTGATGCTTGGATTCTCCTTACAGGATTATTACAGTTATTACCCGATCACACTTCCGTTGAGGAGACCCAACGCAGGAGATCCAGGTACATTATCTCTACGTATTTGCTCGAGGAATACAGATTCTTGATTTAATTATTTGAGATGCTACTCATTATTGCAGAGGTACTTGACGTGGACGAATTTATGAAGGATGTGGGAAATCATGAAGAGGCACTCAACACAGCTGCTGATCTCGCTCTAACTGTTAGTGGACATTACAATAGAATCAAATGTCAAAGCTCACAAACTCTAGGACACTCCATAGTTACTTGTTGTGGGGATGACTTGTTTGTTGACAGGAAGATAGTGAAGAACCGAAAATGCTTTTTATGAGGTTACCGGCTGTTCCTTTGGCAAATCAATCAGCACCAACAGAACCCCGTGGAAGCAAGCCGAATATCAGAGGTGCTGCTGAGAAGGCTTGTGATTTAAATGCTGCCTCGGCAAATGGTTTCATGGGAAAACTTCTAGTCTATAAAAGTGGTGCTGTCAAGATGAAACTCGGTGAAGTGCTTTATGATGTGAGTTGTTTTCTTCCTTCTATTAGCAAAGAACTCGAGCAGAACACTCGGTTTAACAGTAATGAAAGTTTAATTCGGATTTTGGATATGGGTGTGTAGGTTAGCCCAGGGTTGAAGAGCGAGTTTGCACAAGATGTTATGGCGGTTAACACAGATGAGAAGAACTGTTGTCTAGTTGGAGATGTGTACAAGCATGCAGTTTTGACTCCTGATATTGATTCTATCTTGAAAGATATCAACAACATGTGATATTCTTTAAAAAAATATATTATATCAATTTTGTTTCGTTCTTTCTTATTGGAAAGAACTCAGAAGTTTTGACATTGATATGAAGAAAATAAAAATAACTTTCTTTTTATTTCCAATCACAATCATGCTAATTGCTAAACCTTTTGTTTTGTTATTTCTTCTTGGAAAGCTCATCCTTTTCACAAAGTAAAACGTCAAAAAAAAAATTTAGCCAAAAAAAAGGAAAAAACAAGTATTTTCAATAGCTAATTGAATGCTCTTAGATTCTAAAGAAGTATCATTACATACCTAGATTTTATGAAATTAGCTGTATACATACTAATTTAATTTTGTTTAACAAGCCCAACAGAAATATTTGTATTAGTTTTAGCATATCTCTCACACATAAAACACACATTTACATCAATTCTTTAAATTTTCTTTTTGTTACTTTTGGGATTTAAATAGTTATGCTACTTTGATTGAAAACAAAACATACAAGCTAGAAAACGTACGTAAAACTACACGTTTTCCCCCTAACTAAAACACAGACCTATATAACAACAACTGCTATTTCTCATTTTCTTACACACTTCTCAGTTTCATAAAATGGCTGTCTATTACGTAGCGGTACTTCTTCTCCTCGTCCTTCTCTCTATATCCTCTCCATATGTCAACGGAAACTCGATACTAGAAACCAAGTGTTCCTCCATGGTAAAAAACATGTCGACATGTTTGTCTTTTGTGACGATCGGGAGTCGAGTGGATAAACCAGACGCCTTGTGCTGCTCAGGTCTTAAGACAGTGCTCGATACGAAACCTGAATGTCTGTGCGCAGCCTTGAAGAAGAGTGCCTCCAAGGGTATTAAAGTGAACATCCCTAAAGCCGCTACTCTTTTCGCCCTTTGCAAACCTGAAGGTTCTCCTCCGACGACGGTGACATGTGAGATTTTTTCTTCATCATCTCTCTGATTCAATGTTAGATCTTTTTGCTCTCTTTTGACATAAAAATGTCGTTGTTGTTGCAGTGTCTTCTTAACCAAATCTTTAGTTTGAATGTTTTGTTTTGTTACATGATTAACCGGGGTTCTTAGGATGGATTTTTTTTCAGAAGTTAAAAAACTATTTATTAACTTTTAACTAAAAATTTAAGAACCCGTACTTAAATAAGGATTTTAAAAACCTGTTTTAGGTTTTTTAGTTAAAAGTTAATAAATAATTTCTTAAATTCTGATAAGAACTCCACCTTAAGAAGTTGGGTTAATCATGGTCTTATATGCCATCTGAAAAGCATTTTACTTTTTTGCATATATATAATCAATTTTCTAATTTTAACTATCATTATTTTTGGACTGCGAATTTCTGTTTTAAATCCTCCTGATAATATTTTTTATATAATGTGTGTTTGATGTCAATGAAGCTCAATATGCTAGTAGATATTACTTAACTCCTTGTTTACTTGCTCCAGCTCTAGCTCCAAGACCTCTTAGTAATCATGGCTCTTCATTGCTCCCAATCTCTGGCTTGTCATTTGCAATCAGCGGCGCATTGGTCATATTGTTTCTCTCATATCTATCACCCCTAGACCCTTTTGGTTAAGATTTGGCTTGTATCTTGTATTTAACCATGGAGTTCTCTTGATGGGACTTTAGCTTATTTTTAGTTATGATGATATCATTAAGACTTGGCTTTAATGTGTGTACGTTATGTCACACATTCGTCATTTACTTATTTAAATGTAGTGGTGTTTATAAACTTAGCGTTAAATTGAGCCACAATGAGATGCAAACCATCTAAGAAAGATCAAACTAAATTTGAGGAAATTCAAACAAAGAGTTTTTTTTGATATCTGGAAACATTGTTAATGTAATTAGCAAGGAGTACGGCCATTAAGTTTAGTTAAACGAGAAGGTAAGACGTGTCTAATCACTCACACTTGGAAATTGAAAAATGCAACGTACTCCTAGCTAGAGAGGATGACCCATATACCACAAGTTTGGTTTGCAATGAATAATGATGGTTGAGTCTCAAATAGCTAGGTCTCAAATTTAGAAGGCTGAGATTAGAAAATTATCCTAGCTAGAAAGGATGACCTGAAAATCTGGATTACTTTCTAACCAAGCATGCACAGTAGACTTATATTTGTAGTTCATAATTAGTGAAGCTGTGAAGGGAGATTAAACTGGTTGGTTCGACTCGGTAAAATTCCAAAGATAATTTCACAGATATTAAACATGTAACTTGTGCTTGTCCCCTAATATATACACTAGGTAATAATTTGCACCTTGCGCGGAATGAGATTATTAATTTCACGCTTTTGAAATAAGAAGATGTTATGTCTATTTAGTCAGGATATCGGTTTGGTTGTAGTTTAGTTTTTTTTTGTTTTTGATAAATTAAAATATAATTAAGAATATTAATCAATATTTATTCTGTTTATTCGGTTAAAATGCTTGAGGTTTTTTAGATTTTTAATGATAACTAAAAACAATTTTTATTTGCTTGGTTTCATTTTATATGAATTTTAGACAGTTCTTATGTGGAACCAATAGTTTTATATTATAATTTCAAAAGGCATGAAAAATCAAATCAAATGTAGATAATAATTGAAGAAAACGAAAAGAAAATGTTAAAACAAATCGTTTCATTACAATTTGATCAATGGTGAATGAAAACATTAAAAAGGAATGTTTCAGCTTCCAAGAGAATTAGAATCTTCACTTATAGTGAATATTTAGTTATATAGGTGATCATGTCAATGTGCACATGTATGTAAGGCTAGGCAAAATATTCGTAATTTTTTATTCGCCTCATCATCCTTTTCGATTCGAACAAAAAAATTGGATATTTGTACAAGAAAAGCAAATACTAATATGCTATATCCGTAAAACGAAATAAATCACAAATACTAATATTTTAAAAATGGATATTCGATATTATTCAATATATGCGTATATACATATATTTAGTGAAGTATATATATATATATGTTATATAAATAATATATTCTTTATAAATTTTACAGTATTTTTATTCACTAAATTTATTAAATTAGGTATTAGTATTCAAAAAAATAAATAAATTATTTTGTAATAAATTTTTATTATTTTGGATTTTTTATTATTTTATTTATTTTTACTGATCGATACTGGTTAGATATATATTTTTTACAAAACCTTAGATATTCGATTTGTGTCCACTCTTACATATATGTGCATGTGAAAATATATAAAAGTGGTTGATAAATATATAAAGATACAGTAATTCAAATTAAAAGAATTTTTTTTTGTTAAAAATAACCCATGAAACATAATATTCTATTAAAATAAATTAAGTAAAAATAAAATAAATCTAGACAATAATGTAATTTTAGTAAATTATTTTTCTGTGTAAAGCTTTTGTATAACCCGTAAAATTTTGTATGTAAGTTTATATTGAAAAAATCTAAAATTATATATGGTGTGAACGTAATTATGTATAGTTTGACTGAGAAATGCTTTACTTGTGACACGTGTACATATTCATTTTAAAATCATTGTAAAACTGTCACGTGACAAATATAATGTGAACCCATTAAATTACAATTATTAATCATATATTAGTTATTCGATTAGGCTATTGTGCTATCAAATATCTTAGTCTTTTTAACATAATTTCTTGGTATCTATATAACCCTTTACAGTTTTCATTCTTTCTTTTGTTTGAACAATTATGAAATCCTTTTAAATACAATATTTCTTCCTTGTTTAGAATATAATTATTTAATACACCAAAATTAGAAATAAATATACACACACATTAATTTATAATTTTATATCAATAAATTTTCTGAAATAATATCTAACTGCCTCAAATAAATGTGTAAGAAATTAACTCATTAATACAGTATAATCTCTTTAAATTAATACTCTATAAATTAATATACATTAAAAATCTCTATAAAATAATATAATTTAATAGTCTCAAGTTAAATTTTTGATTCAGTTAGTAATCAATAAATTAATAAAAAATTATTGTTTTGGTGTTGTCTTAACATTATTAATTTATAAAGATTTTACTGAATTAATCACGAGTCTACATACCAAAAGTTTCCCCAAAAAAGGTCAACATATCAAAAGTTTCCCCAAAAACAAGTCAACATACCAAAAGAAAGAAGAAAATATATAACAAAAGTAAATGAAAGCAGCACTATAACAGATTGTTATACTCAAAGTAGGTTTATTACATTCTGTCAGAGATCATCAATCGGTTTAGAAGAACAAGCATGGTCTTCAAGCTCAATATTTCAAACACCATCGTTAGCACATTGACTATAGTGTTTTCCCTCTTTCTGTTTCTTACAATCCAATTCGCACAAGCCAAGATCCATCGTCACACCTTCACGGTATTGTAAAACAAATATCATTTTTACGTTACCAACAGACACATAAGATTATTTTGTACAAAATGAGACATGTATGAAATTTATCTATGCAGATACAGTCAAAGGCGTACACCCGACTCTGTGACACCAAAAATATATTGACAGTGAACGGAGAATTCCCCGGACCGACGTTAAAAGCCCACCGTGGAGATAAGCTCATCGTCAATGTCATCAACAACGCAAACTACAACATGACCCTCCACTGGTAAGCATCACAACACATCTTGTTTGATTTCGCATCGACTATAAAATGTGGAGAGTCATTTTTAATATATTAGGCATGGAGCGAGACAAGTAAGGAACCCATGGTCGGATGGACCTGAATACGTGACTCAATGTCCAATCCGACCAGGCGAACGTTACGTTTACAGAATTGATCTAACGATTGAAGAAGGAACGATATGGTGGCACGCACATAACCAATGGGCACGTGCCACGGTCCATGGAGCGTTTATAATCTACCCAAAACCCGGTTCATCTTACCCATTTCCTAAACCTCATGGCGAGATTCCTCTCGTTTTAGGTACATTGTCACTTATGATTTTTTAATAATGTTAAAAGAGTTTATAATAGTGAAACATATCGTAACATATATATGACAGGTGAATGGTGGAAGAAGAAAAACGTTATGGATATTGCAGGAAAAGCTAATAAAACCGGAGGTGAACCGGCAATCTCAGATGCATATACCATAAACGGACAACCCGGTTATCTCTACCCCTGCTCTAAACCGGGTAATCCTCTTCCAATTTCACACATGCTCATGATTAGGCCTACTCATGATCATGTATCAATTTTTTTTTTTTTTGAGCAAGATCATGTGTCAATTTAAATGGCACTAGAATTATTATCTGAAAAAATCTCTTGGATAGCTTTTTAAAATTTATTTTCAAAAAAATAATCTTTATAGAAGAAAATTGCCAAAATAATTTTTTATTAAATGGTAAATATACATTTATATCTTTAGTTTAACTAATTTAAATTTAAGTGATAGAGTTAAAGAGTGAATTTTACGTTTAGGATTTCAAATTTTTTTTTTTTAAATATATATATATTATAAATTTCAAAAAAAAAAATCATTTGTTCATTTTATTTGTTGTGACAAAAAATTAAAAATGACTATTTGAGATAATTGTACTTATTATTTTTCTTTTGTCATCTCGAAATCAGACACATTTACAATGAGGGTGGTGCCCCGTAAACGATACCTTCTCCGGATAATCAATGCAGTGATGGACGAAGAGCTCTTCTTCTCAATCTCAAACCACACCTTAACCGTTGTGGCCAAAGACGGTCTCTACTTAAAAAATTTCAACACTAGCTACCTAATGATCACTCCCGGCCAATCAATGGACGTCCTCCTCCACGCAAATCAACGGTCAAGCCGTTACTTTATAGCGGCTCGAGCTTACTCCTCCGCCTTTGGTGCCGGTTTCGACAAAACCACCACCACTGCCATCTTAAAATACAAAAATGTTCCCTTAACCGATAAATTAAACCCGGTTTTACCTTATTTACCTCCATACAATCATACCAAAGCAACCACCCGGTTCACTAACAATTTTAAAAGCTACCGATTCCATAACCGTCCGGTTAACGTTCCGCTTAAAATCGACACTCGTCTTCTCTACGCGATCTCCGTGAACTTGCTGAACTGCTCCGACGATAAACCATGTAACGGCCCGTTCGGGAAGAGATTCTCGTCGAGCGTCAACAACATCAGCTTCGTGAATCCGACGGTGGACATTCTCCGAGCTTACTACCGCCGCATCGGAGGCGTTTTCGAGGAGGATTTCCCGAGAAATCCGCCGAGGGAATTCAATTACACCGGAGAGAATCTTCCGTTTCCGACGAGGTTTGGGACGAAAGTGGTGGTTCTTGAATTTAATTCGAGCGTCGAGCTGGTTTTGCAGGGGACGAATGTTTTGGCTTCGGATAATCACCCGATCCATCTCCATGGTTATAGCTTCTTTGTGGTGGGATCGGGTTTTGGGAATTTCGATCAAAGGAAAGATCCGTTGAAGTATAACTTAGTTGATCCACCGGAGGAGACTACCGTTGGAGTTCCTCGTAATGGCTGGACCGCCGTCAGATTCGTAGCTAATAATCCAGGTTCACTCATCACTCTAACACGTTGCATGTAGAACAAAAAAACACGTTTCTGGGCTTGAGTTTTTGCATTATACTATGTGGCAATAGGGCCCAAACAATAGGCCATATAATGTTAGCATATGAATTCATATATATATTTATTATTTGTTTTTATGCATTTGAATTTGTAAGATAACTTAAAAACTGAAAAAAATAAATTTCACAAATATAGACCTTAAAAATAATAATGACCAAAATATACTTATTTTTTTATTAAAAATATGTAAATATACATTCATATCCTTTGGATTAATTAATATTAATCATAGCTTTTTTTTTGTTTGGAGTTGAAAAATGGGATTTTATGGATAAAATTTCAGAAAAAAATAAAAAAATAAAAAAATATTATTTTGCTTATTTTAGTTTTAAAAATTTATTTTTATAATAAAAACTTTAAAAATATATATTTGAGAGAATTGTAAAAAGTTATGTTGTAAAAAATACAAATATGAAATTATTTTTATATTTTTTCCGGTGTGTAAGCATAGGTCCATCAGCTAATTTTAAATAACTTGCAAAGATCAAAGTATAAGGTCAACTGGAAATAAAAATGATCAAAAGACACCATATATATATATATATATATATATATATATATATATATATTTGTCATACTGAAAGAAGGATCTAACATTCTCACATGATATTTATTGAGTTTTTCATGATTTTGGTTTGGTTATATATAGGGGTATGGTTGTTGCATTGCCATATAGAGAGACATGCCACATGGGGAATGAACACAGTGTTCATAGTGAAAGATGGACCGACCAAATCATCTCGAATGCTCGAACCTCCTCCTGATCTGCCTTCTTGTTAGCTAATATATAGTATCGTTTTATGAATTATAAAGTTCTGAAGAAGAAAGATTAGAGTTTAGCTATTGTGACTAAATTTAATAATATGATCTTCAGAAAGTTTAGAGTTTAGCTATTGTGACAAAATTTAATAATATGAGCAAAACTATGTTTCCTTATCATCATACCAATTCTTTCCGTTACAGTATTATTTATCTGTTTTGCCAGTCAATTCAATTATTTTATTCAGTTCCTTTCTAGCTAAGTTTTTGATTGCTGACCAATTCTTCGTGCTATATAAAATTTTAAATTTCCATGGGTAATTGTGAATAATCAACGAGAGGCGTTAATGAAGGTATAATCAACAGAAATTGCTACGAAAGACACAAAAGCTCATGAGGACCATAAATAAAGTAAATTGGAATTAAAAATAACACTATCAACAACAAGTAAATATGAGAGAAATAGACTTTGGAATCATATTTGGATAACTAACACAATTCTTCTTTCTTTAGCATGATTCTGTCTGTGGATGGGTAGAACAACATTGTCAATTTAGAGAGTAAATACTAGAATAACTTAATTTAGCAAATATGGCTCCAATTATATGTCAATTTGATGTTAGGTTGTGAACTCCTTGCGGATCTTCAGCCATGTCAGTATGCAGCCTCTGTTGATGAGCTTGTTGCTCTGCTTGTTTTCTCTGTCTTGCAATCTCTCTTTCAAAGGCCCGGATATCTGGAACTAGTGGAACAAGGTTTGTTGTGCCTTTGCTCCTCAAGTTCATACACCTGTAATCCAAAGAGGGATGAAGATAAAGAATCAGTAACAAAATAAAAGAAAAATGACTTAGTCTCAAGCAAGTGACTAAATCTCAATGTTTCAATCTACTCAGAATTTGGCAACGGCGNTTTGTTGTGCCTTTGCTCCTCAAGTTCATACACCTGTAATCCAAAGAGGGATGAAGATAAAGAATCAGTAACAAAATAAAAGAAAAATGACTTAGTCTCAAGCAAGTGACTAAATCTCAATGTTTCAATCTACTCAGAATTTGGCAACGGCGCCAATTTGATGTTAGGAGTTTTTGAGGCTCCTAAGGCAAATGTTGTAGTAGAGATGATTGTCGAACCAGTTCTGAGGGATTTAAAAGCACCGAGAATGCAAGTACTAACTTAATCTAAGTGCAATCGAATGTTTGGTTGGTTTTGAAGTTAACTAAAACTAGAATGCAAATAACAAAAATGATACTTTTAAACTATTGGAGAAGAGAACTCATGGGTATTGGGATTTAGACCTTGGGTGATCAGGTTTCGAACTAAAATGGCAAGCTATCAATTAAACTGTCTGCCTTAGGCCTAGATACGATTCTAAACAAGCTCTATGTCTAGATGAATGTTCATTTGCTAACACATCTCAAGCATCAAATGTCTTTGGTTGAATAACATGCAAGCAATCATTAAGAACGGATCTAATAGCCATTTTAACACTTTTAACAACAAGTGTCCCTGGTAAAGACTGTTAAAAGCTTAAAGGAGTTGACTCAGACATTTCATCGAACACCTGTCGGCTGAGAAATGTCTAGAGATCAACCTTTGAGTGATCAATTCAAAGGAGGCTTTAAGACTACTCTAATATGCAAGGAACAAGAGAAATCTACACTTAAAACATCTTAGCTCTAACCTAATCANTAATCACCCTAAATCACCCTAACCCATGAATCCAAGGGGTGATTACTCACTAATCTCCATGATTATCCTTAAACCCATGGTGGATTTCAGATTAATCATGTAGAGAAACAGATGGAATAATCAACAGAAGCACAAGAACATACAATGGAAATCAAAAGGATCAATTTCTCTCAAGAGTTTTTGTGTTCTTTCAATAATCCAAAGATAATCCGCCAAAAGGTGGCTACAAGGTGCTTAAACATTAGGTTTTCCAAGTGCAAAAACGCGCACAACAATTGCAAAAAGGTCCTTAGAAAATCATAAAATCGTCACAAGAAATAGACGCGCAGCGGCCAGGCACACCCGCTGCACCCTGGCCGCTGTGTGGGATGCGGGTGGAGCGGCTAGGGTGACCCGCTCCAGGCACCCGCTGCAACTCAAGGCGCGCGGCTGGTTGGAGCCGCTGTGGGTCGGTCGCTGCGCTTGGGAGCGGCTAGGCTCACCCGCTCCATGTTGCCCGCTGTGAGTGTCTGGCTACAGCGACCAGGCAGGGCCGCTGTGACAGGTCGCTGTGGCTCTCTCCGGACTTAGGTCACTCCTTTTGCCTCCCTTGAGCCCCTGATGAATCCCAAATGCTTCCAAAAGCTCCATGTGATGCTCCAATACCTAAAAGGGACTCATGTATGCAAAATGCAACCTAAACATGGCTAAAACCTATTCTACATGATGAAAAGGAATGCAAAAGAGTAGATAAAACAATGCAATAATGCAAGACATCAGATAACTAACACAATTCTTCTTTCTTTAGCATGATTCTGTCTGTGGATGGGTAGAACAACATTGTCAATTTAGAGAGTAAATACTAGAATAACTTAATTTAGCAAATATGGCTCCAATTATATGTCCCTTGTCATCTAAAAAATAAAGCCAAATGTGTCTTCCTACACCATCTCAAACCCTTTTGAGAAACAAAAGGTATGTTAATGTTATAGTATGTTTCTTCTCTGTACTTCTTTTGTTCAAACTATACATTTTTTTAGGATTTGGTTTTAATGGTCACATTTATGATGTATTTAACTTCTTGTTACAAAATCTAAGGTTCGAATTGTTACTTATTTTTCTTTAAAGATTTAGCAAATGTAATTTAATATTTAATTTAAACTACATTTAATTTTCAAATATTGGTTAAATAATGTTACCAATAGAAAGAAAAAACATTAAAGTCACGGCCTTTAATTGAAAATGGGCCCACCACCTAGGAAAAATAACGCGTAGGGTGTGTGAAGCTCACAGCTCCGTCATATATATAAAACCCTTGTCTCCGGTTCTGTCTTTTCTTTCACGCCACTCTCTCTAAATCTAAATCGAATCTCTCTCTAGCTCCCTCGCCTCCCCCTTGCGCTGATCGTCCTCTCCACCCTCCAGTATTCCCCTCTCTTCGGGTATGAAAAATCAATCCATGTTCTCGATGTTGACTTTTATTTTTCCCGACCTAGTCGTCGGTTTTGTTTTCACTTTTGATTAGGTTTTTTGTGATACTCTGTATCTGATCTGAGTTAGGGTTTTGATTTTCTTGGTTTTAATTGTTTTTTTTTGGAGATTTCTCATAATTGATGATTTGGTCTTTTGATATATATGATGTGATAAAAAAAAAGATATATATGATGTGTATTCTCGTATCTAGCTGGTTGTGTAGTTCAAATTTTCTTCTTCTTCTTTTTTTCACTTTTGATTAGGTTTTTGTGATACTCTGTATCTGATCTGAAGTCGATTCATTTTTTAGGGTTTTAATTTTTCTGGGGTTTTAAATGTTTCTGATATCTCTCATAATTGATGATTTGGTGTTTTGATATATGATGTGTATTCTCGTATGTATCTAGCTAGTTGTGTAGTTCAAATCTTTTTATTTTTTTTGTTTATGTCTCAATATCAGGCTTTACGTTCCACACCAGATGTCTGTTGATCTCTGCAAGAAGAACCCATCTTTTCTTTGGTGTGACTGTGGTTATATGAGCAGGGGCAGGTTGTGGTGCTTCCAGATTATCTTGTTCAGGCACTGGACTTAGACCTTCTCTCTCTCTCACCTCTTCTCAATCTCTCTCTCTCTTCTTTCTTCTCTGCAATCTTCTGCTTGATTTGATTACAAAGTATTCGCCTTTACTGCTCTTGTTACTGTGAACTTGTTCTTTTTTGCTGCGCAAAAACTCCTAACTTGCTTGTGAGGAGTTTTCTTAGCCGAGTGCAAGTTTTCCCCTTTGGATCTGCCCGATGGGGAAAACTGAACTGGCTCCTGGATTTCGATTTCATCCTACTGATGTTGAACTCGTGAGATATTACTTGAAGAGGAAAGTGTTGGGTAAAAAGCTCCTCGTTGATGCTATTGCTGAACTTGACATTTACAAGTTTGAACCTTCTGACTTGCCTGGTACTCATTTTTAAAAACCTTCCTTTGCACTGTTATGATTATCTCTGGATACTTACAAGTCTTTGTTTTTTTTACAGATAAGTCCTTTATAAAGAGTGGTGATCTTAAATGGCACTTCTTCTGCCCAAGGGAAAAGAAATATGCAACTGGTGTTAGGGCTAACCGTGCAACTGTGGGTGGTTACTGGAAGACCACAGGGAAGGAGAGATCTGTTATGTGCAATGCTGAAGTTGTTGGAAAGATCAAGACTTTGGTGTATCATGTTGGGAAGTCTCCTCGTGGGGAGAGGACTGATTGGGTTATGCATGAGTATAGGCTTGAGGACATCGTGTTGACACAGAAGAATATCCCTCAGGTAATCTAAAACGACAGATATATAATTTCAACTCGTACTTGTCTTTGTTTGCTGATTTATTATGCTTGGGGATGCAGGATACTTATGTCCTATGTGTGTTCTATTATCACTTTTTGTTTGCTGATTTATTATGTTTGGGGATGCAGGATACTTATGTCCTGTGTGTTCTGTTCAAGAAAGATGGACCGGGTCCTAGGAATGGAGCTCAATATGGTGCTCCTTTCAAGGAAGAGGACTGGAGCGAAGAGGAACATCAACTTACTGGTGTTGCTGCTACCAACAATGCAGCAATCTTCCTTCATGGGCCTAACGCAGAGACCAGTCTTGCTGTGGCGCCCTCGCATGACCCTAATGAGGCTTGTGTTGGTGGCATGATGTCTGAATCATGCGTCTCTGATTTCCAACCAGCTACTGCTACTACCAGCGTGACTGCACATCTGAATGATGCAGCTAATACTCTTATGCCTGCACCAGTTCTTGATCCTAGTAGCAGCTCTTCTCTGGGGCAACCCCTGCTGGTGCCAGACAAGGATGATGATATATATTCAAAGTTGGATCTCTTTGTTGATGAGGATGAGTACTTGCGTTTCTGTGAGCCCAACACCAATGAGGTAGGTGTTTTCTCTTGTTGGCTTACTGTTATCATAATAACTTTGTATCATTGCGTGCTTCTAGGATAGTGAAGCAACTTTGAAACTGTTTAAGTCTTTGGAAATTAGTAATCGTTACACATAAGGTTCTTTGCTATCTTATTATTTTAAAATGTATTCTTCTGAATCAAATTGTATCATCTTACAGGCAACAAGACATGATCCCAATGTCCCAGCTCCAATTTCCTTAGGAGAAGAAGTGATATTCGACGACCTACCCGACTTTACCAATATGCATAACAACAACAGCACACCCTCTTACGACCTGATTGAAAACTCGGAGTTATACTTGGAGCTCCAGGATCTCACAACTTCATTAGGACCACCGCATATTTGGAATGTCAGCGACTCTTACCTGACAGCTCCATTAGCACTACCACCTCAAGTAGGCAATGTCAGCGACTCTTACCTGACAGCTCCAGTAGCACCGCCTCAAGTAGGGAATGTCAGTGACTCTTATCTCAACCATCAAGGTCACTTTGATTTCTCCGCTGCTGCTACTAATGATGATCCTTATGGATTCTCTACGTCCATGGGACACGCGCCAGACGCTTGACAAAGAGGTTTAGCTCAAACTTCCATCCAAGAATCCTCTTCTCTGCCCAGTACTGGCCTCTCCATTTGTTGACAAATCAACAGAAGCCATGAGATAATGAGCTTCCATGTATGTATATTCCCATTTCTGAAACTCTCTTATTTCGCAAATCTCGTTTATCTCAGCATAAACTCTCTTATGTCGCAAATCTCGCTTCTCAGCATTCTCTTATTACTTGGATTCTCATATTCCTAAGTAATGACATTGGGTTTCAAGGTTTTTTTTAGTGTGTTTCAACTTGTGTCTTATGTCGCAAATCTCGCTTCTCAGCTTAACTCTATAAACTCGATCTGTCATCATTAATCTGAGTTTCGGATTCAATGTTCATTTTACCGAAATACGCTTAGGTTTTAATGGGCTTTATTTCATCCATAATTGAAGACAATATTTTCTAGCTTTCTTGCCTTTCTTCGAACCAGCATCTTGGGTGTCCTCACATCACAACAAACAATAACATATGCCCTCTCTTCGTTATTAAAATTTGAATATTTGTTTTCGTCCTTTTGTCTTTTTAAAAATATTATTTTTAAATAAAAATCTGAAAATTTGAAAATTGCAAAAATTTATATTTTTAAATATTCAATTTCTTTTAATTTTTTTCTTCAAATTTTAAACATCCATTTAATTTTTATTTTCTACAATAATTTTATTTTTAAAAAATTACAACACTATATCCCGCTAATTTTATTCATACATAAATAAACATTATCATTTGAAATTAAATTTAATAACTAAAACTAAATAAATTAATAAAACATTTTTTCTTTTTTCGTTTTTATAGATTATTTTATGAAAATTGTAAGTAAACCTGAAAATACAAAACAATAAACAAAAAAACACATAATCGAACTAACATTGGGATTCATTTCAAAGGATGTTTGTTGGGAACTAACATCAATAAACATCCTTTAAAATGATTTTTTCCTTGTGTCCAAATGAAATGAAACAAATTTCTATTTATAAAATATTAAAAATGATGAATTATGATATATATATATATATAATTAAAATATTAGAAATAATTAATGTTACATAGTTGAGATGAATTTTTTTTTTGAAAATATGAGCATTCAATTAGTTATTATCATTGTATTTATCCATCTAATTTCGTTGAAATTAAAATCTGAGAGACGAACTTAAAAGTTTGGTCTAATCAATATTTATTACGTTATTTAAGATGGATCTATTTTTATTTTACAGCAATATTGATAAGATTCAACATAAATTTTTCCACGTTTTTTATTTATTATTTCAACAAACCATCAGTTGTTAAAAATTATCAATAATTAGATAAATAAAAGAGTATTTGCACTCCATACACACACTAAACCTCATAATTCACTCCATACCCTATTTCTTCCTTTATCTCTCCTCCCCACACATTATTATTTTCTCCACCAAAAATGGCAAATCCCTAATTTCCTATTTTCTTATGGATTTCTATCCAATTCACTCTAAATAAAACTACCATTGTAAATAGTCTAATTGATTTAATTTCGTGTTTAAAATAAATAAATACTAAATTAATTTGACAACAGGTCCTTTAAAAAGATTACTTACTGAGATGTGGGGACAGGGAAGAGAATTGCTCCCTTTCTTCGCCACGGCTCTCTATCATTGGTCTCGATTTCGTCCGACCAAGCTACTAAATCGTTCGGAGATTATAAGTTTGATCAGTATCGATTCGTACGCGATTCGTTGGATGGAGAGCACAGACGTATTCCCCGGGCTGCATGGTTTTCTCGAGCGGATGCGTAAACCCTCTGCCGTCGATTTCGTCAAATCCATTAAAAGGTTCTCTCTCTCTCTCTCTCTCTCTCTCTCTCTCTCTCGATTGAGAGACATCTGAGAAAAGACTCGTAGTGATTTGAGTACATTGAATAGATATGTTGGATATGAGAACATGTCATGATCTTGTTAGTTGGATGCTGTGATACCAACATCTTAAGCTTAGATCTGAACTTGCATATTCCACCATTGTTTTTGTCTCTTCTGCAAATTCTGTTTTGTCGTCTATGTTTTTTTTTTAAAGTTTGAGTAAGTTCTTATGTGTGCAGTTTCATTGTCTCATTCTTGAACACTGCATCAGACCCAGAGAAAGACAGCGAGGCAGTTCAAGAGTTCTTTACCAAGATGGAAGCTGCTTTCAGGGCTCATCCACTTTGGTCAGGTTCTTCTGAAGAGGAGTTGGACAGTGCTGCAGATGTTAGTTTACATCTTTTATTATTCTTCTTCTTCTCTTTTTGTCCTTGCCGTTTAATTATTACTCCTGTTGTGTTTTTATATACACAGGGTCTTGAGAAGTATGTCATGAGCAAGGCAAAGTTATTTACGCGGGTTTTTGCATCAAACATCGAGGATGTAATCTCCGATGAGAAACTCTTTCAGAAGATGGCGTTAGTTCAGCAGTTTATTTCTCCTGAAAGCTTGGATATACAACCATCTACTTTTCAGAACGAGACATCATGGCTGGTGAGCTGATCTCTAGTCACATCTAGCTCTTTCTACTGTTACACTCGCTTATATGATCTCTCCTTTCTGGCAGCTAGCTCAAAAAGAGCTCCAGAAGATGAATTTGTACAAAGCTCCTCGTGATAAGTTAATGTGTATCCTTAGCTGCTGCAAAGTGATAAATAAATTACTGCTAAATGCTTCTATTGCTTCAAATGAGAATGCACCTGGAGCCGACGAGTTTCTTCCTGTTCTCATATATGTTACCATAAAGGTATGGTTAAGGGATTGACCAATACTGTATATGCATGCTAGTTTCTGATGTCGTATGTGTATTTATATACTCTTATGCCTGAACTGTGCAACTGCATTTGCTGATGATCATTATTTACTTTGTTTTTCCCAGGCTAACCCTCCACAGTTTCACTCAAACTTGATGTACATACAAAGATATAGACGTCAATCAAAACTGGTTGGTGAAGCTGCCTACTTCTTCACGAACTTGCTATCTGCAGAGTCTTTCATCTCAAATATCGATGCGAAGTCCCTTTCTATGGATGAAGCTGAATTTGAAATGAAAATGGAATCTGCACGGGCACGTCTTTCTGGTCTGGGAAGCCAGTCTTATCCAACCACGCTTCTTCAATCACAGTCGTCTGAGAGTCTTTCTGGAACCAACGAAACATTGAATCAGAACAGTGAACTGCCGGTAAAGAAAGCTGAATCCGTTTCGGATTTGGAAAATAAAGGTGCTGCAACGCTTTTGAAAGATAGCAGCGAGGCAAGCAAGATCTTTAAAGAGTATCCTTACATGTTTGCCAGTGCTGGTGATTTAAGGGTAGGAGATGTTGAAGAGCTGCTAAATGATTATAAACAGCTCATTTTCAAATATGTTTGCATCTCCAGAGGCTTGGGTGTTGCAGCAACATCTTTAGCTTCATCAAGTTTGCCTTTGCAGCCGTCTACTGAATCTGAGGAGGAACAAACAACAGTGGCTTCAGATGTTCAAACGAAAACCGAAACTGACATGAGCGTTGATGCTTTGCAGCCGTCTACTGAATCTGAGGATCAAACAGCATTGTCTTCAGATGTTCAAACGAAAACCGAAACTGACATGAGCGTTGATGATTTGATGCGGGCTTTACAAGGTGAAGGAGACAATGTTCATAAACTTTCAGACGATTATGAGGAAGATGTTGTACAAGGAAGTGCTGAAGAACATGATCCCAAAGCTCAAGAAAAAGCAGATAACGAAGACATTGATTTGAAGAAGCAAAGTGAAGAGAGAGAGGGTGACAGTTCTAGTTCTAGACCTGCAGAAGATGATGATTCTGATTCCAAAAATCTAGTTGTAGAAGATTAGAATGACCAATCACAGCGACGACTGACTAGTCTCTTGTATTGGATTAGTCTTCGTATAGAAGAAGCAGAGGTCAGAGCATAAAACCTTACAGCTTTGAGGAGATAACAACGTTTCTAATGTGTGTTATGAAATTGATGATGAAATGTGTTAGGACTTTGGTTAATTTATAAAGTGCAGCATTGGACTCTTAAACCCACAAATTGAATAACAAACCGGTTTCATCTGAGACATTAGGAAACCGGTTTAGATTGTAAACAAGAGAAGCCAGAGGGGCATTAGCGTAATTTACTAGTTCTCCCTCTTCCTTTTCTACTGCACCAGAGAGGGAGAGAGTCTAACGGCGAATATGGAAGGGATTATATTTCGCGGAGAGAGTCTCCGTCTCGGATTTACGCCACACCGTGGTGTCTGCACCCGTTCTCCAATCCTCCGACGAGCTATGGTGATAAAGATGAGAGACCGTAGCAAAAACAGGAAACCGTTACAGAGAGGTCGTATGCTCAGCATCGAAGCGATTCAAGCCGTTCAAGCTCTAAAGCGAGCCAATCCTCCTCCTCCTCCGTCTACTTCCACGTCACCGTCTTCCTCATCGATGCTTGATAGCTTAATCAATTCCAAAATCCGCCGGCTCTTGAAATTCGACATGGTCGCCGTTCTTCGAGAGCTTCTACGTCAGAACGAGTGCTCTCTATCCCTCAAGGTTCTTCATCTCTCTCACTCTCTTGAACATATTTCTGCTGTGTTCTATCTCAAAATTTGAATTCGTTTTTTTAGGTTTTCGAAGAGATACGAAAGGAGTATTGGTACAAGCCTCAGGTGAGACTATACGCGGATATGATCACAGTAATGGCGGATAATAATTTAATCGATGAGGTTAATAATCTTTACTCAGCTATGAAATCAGAGAAGGGATTGAGTGCTGACACTGAGAGCTTCAACACGCTCTTGGTGATTCTTCTGAAGCATAAGCTGTTTGAACTCGTCATGGACTGTTACTCTTTTATGCAGTCGATAGGGTATGAGCCGGATAGGATTTCGTTTAGAATCCTAGTTCAGGGACTTGAATCCAATGGTGAAATGGGGTTATCGGGTGTTGTTAGGCAAGATGCTCATGAGTATTATGGTGAGTCGCTGGAGTTTAGTGATGAAGTTGAAGATATCTCTAGTTTGTTGATTCCACAATGGAGAAAATAGTGTTTAGAGATGGAGCTTAATAGTAGCTTGCAATTTGATCAATACTGTGTACTAAGAGTCTCTATAAAGTAAGACCCATTTTTATATCTGATTTATGTAGCCGTGAGAGGCTGTTTGGTATCTCTATCGGATGATTCTTGTATCAGGGCTAAGCCAAAACCATCTAATCTAGGCATTGTAAGTTGTAACGTAAGAACTAGGAGTTTCTCATTCAGTTTCAAGTCACTTGAAAGTTGGAAACCACTTACATCTTCAAGTCCATAACTACTTGCTGATGTTAACGATACGTTTTTAGTATTCAAATAAGTAGCTTGGAGTCTAGGAAGTTCTTCAATTCATTGTGGAAGTTTAAGTACAATACACAAAATAAGAAAGAGATGCAATTTTTGTTGTAACAACAATTACTTACAGAAAACTGTTGGTCTAGTGGTTACCATTGGAAGAGGAATTGCCATGAGGGATCGATTCCTTCTAGTGCGAAATTATTAGCTCTATATGTAGCCACGCAGATATGAGTTATTGCTGGCCCATTTGAATGCTCAGGAGAGGATTCATCTGTGGTTGGTTTTAACTTTTTTTTAGTTAATAAAAAAGCCAATTACTTACAGAAAAAAGAAATTGTAGTTCCACAAGGTTTATCCCGAAACGACGTCGCTGCGTTGCGGTGCTCAAGTAGGAAGGAAATGTTTTATTTCTTCCAATTTTCGGGCTGAAGAAGATGGAGGCTTCACGGAGCGACGACGCTAATCTGAGCCCTAACCGCGATCGGAGATCAAATCCGAATCCAACTCATAACCCTATACTCTCTTCATCGCAGATTTGGCCAACTATCGACGGTCCTTTGGGGTTAACGGAGGAAGCATCGGTGGATTACGCTCGGCGATTCTACAAGTTCGGATTCGCTCTCTTGCCTTGGCTCTGGGCTGTCAATTGCTTCTACTTCTGGCCCGTTCTCCGTCACTCTCGCGCCTTCCCTCAGATCCGAAACCGTAAGTTTTTCAGATCATCATTACAGATACATTATGGAGTTTATTGATGATATAATCCAGTGGTTCAATGTTTATTGGTTTGTTAAAGCTTCTCTCTGGTCACGACGTGATTTGGATTTGATTTTAAGATGATGATTCAGGCTTTTGTATGTACTTTGTTGTGATGTTTGTAGATGTGGTTAGGTCAGCGATTGGATTCAGTGTCTTTACAGTTCTTCTTTCAGCGTGGGCTTTGACATTCTCTATAGGTGGAGAACAGCTTTTTGGACCTGTTTGGGATAAGCTTGTTATGTACAACGTTGCTGATCGTCTTGGCTTGTCTGGCTTGACCTAACTCTCTCACTCTTGTTTATCTTTGACGTGTATGTTACTTTGTTTATCCCCTTCTTATGTTTTCCTATGCGACGATTACTTCTTAAATGAAAATTAATGAGATCCATGTTGTGAATATAAGATGGAGTTTCAACATTCTGTTAAAGCAAATAATTCTTATATTTCTTGATCGAATTTACTTTACTATTTAATCATCAGTGGTTAGCATTAGAGTACTAAACATAGCAAGCCAAAAAAACTAGTAGTTTATATAAACCAAAGATAAATCAGTTACACTATCTCCTTTCTACTTTTAGAATGTTGCTTCAAGTTGTTACAACTTACAACTTCTCTAGTTCTTCATGAACTCACACTAAATAGAAACAAGAAACTAACCTTTACTATTGGTTAAAAATAAACTAACTCGATCACTCATATATATTTCCTCCATCTACACATCTCATACTTCAAAACAACACAGCTTGTAATCCAAAACCTCAACCTTCCTCTTTTATCTTGATTCACATATCAAAATCATGGTTAGGTTCTTGACCATCACGTTGATCCCATTCTTGTTCGTTTTGTTTGTGGCAAATGTCTTGGAAGCCACGGAACTGAATGTAATGGACAAATGTTGGAGACCAAACCCGCATTGGCGTAAAACCCGTAATCAACTAGCACGGTGTTCTGTCGGATTCGCTGGAAAAATGACAGGAAACATAGGTAAAGGAGTCACACAATACAAAGTAACAGACCCTTCCGATGATCCTCTAAACCCTAAACCAGGAACCCTAAGATACGGAGCAACTCTAATCAAAGGCAAAAAATGGATCACATTCAAAAGAAACATGAAGATCAACCTCCACAAACCCTTACTAATCAGCAGCTTCACCACACTCGATGGTCGCGGTGTTAGCGTTCACCTCTCTGGTCCAGCTTGTCTCATAGTCTACAAAGCCACCGATGTGATCATTCATGGACTTAAAATCCATGATTGTAAAGCTCACCCACCAAGCTCAGTGATGGGACCAGACTCAAAGATCATGCAACTTGGTCAAGTGGACGGTGATGCGATTAGGCTAGTCACGGCTAAAAAAGTGTGGATCGACCACAACACGTTATATGACTGCGAAGACGGGCTATTAGATGTCACGAGAGGGAGTAGTGATGTCACAGTGTCGAACAATTGGTTTAGGAATCAGGACAAGGTCATGCTTCTTGGACATGATGATGGTTATGTGAGAGATAAAGATATGAGAGTCACTGTTGTGTTTAACCACTTTGGTCCTAACTGCAACCAGAGAATGCCAAGGTATTTATAAATATTTGCATGAAACCAAACGTTTTTTTTATTTACTCTGAACTGTTATATTGATGGATGATGTGTAACATGCAGAGTGAGACATGGATATGCTCATGTGGCGAATAACTATTACCAAGGATGGACTCAATACGCGATTGGAGGAAGCATGAGCCCTCGCGTGAAGAGCGAATCAAACTATTTCGTCGCACCAGAATCCGGACGCAAAGAGGTAAGCATCCAAACCGCTATCGCGATAACTGAAACGCAAACGCAGTTTCTTCTCATCTAATATTTTGAGTTTGTGTACTGTGGTTGTGTAGATAACTTGGAAGAAACATAGCCAAGGTGATAAAATGCAATGGAAATTCTACTCAGTGAATGATTATATGGAGAATGGAGCTAGTTTCGGCTTACAGAAAGGTATTGGAAAAGCCCGGCCCAATTACGGCCCATCTCAAAGGTTCACAGTAGCGGACGCTAAGACCGTTAAAGAACTCACTTCTTCAGCTGGAGCGTTACACTGCACCAGAAACTCCATCTGCTAGAAGAAGAAGAACAACAACAGCTTAACATGACTTTTCAGCGTTTTCTTGTCTTATTAAACCTTATGAATATTGAAATTGTACATGAATTTGACTTTATATAAAAAGCCTATGTAAGTAAATAACAAAAGCATTGTAACAGAACTGATCTTGTCATAAGCCTTAACAGAAACAATGTGTTTTTGGTTATAAACTAGTAAGTAACTAAGGAAGTGATGTTTTGTCAGAAGCTGAAGAAGACTTGTCCAGTGATTGAGCAGATTTAGAAGCTGTTACTGCTGCTGCTTGTTCGTCTTGGACGAGTTTCCTAAGTTTTGTCTGGAGACCACGAACTCGATCCTCGGTTCTCCTCAGCTTCCTCCATCTATAAGCGGTCCAAAGGAAAAGACCACCGTAGACAACAGTGTAAGAACCCCAAACATAAGGATAAGCTTCAGCGTGGTCTCTGAGTTTCTTGTATTGTTCTTCAATTGCTCCTACAAAACCAGGAGACACTTGGTTTGGTTTAACCTCCTGATCTTCTAATCCGCTTTGCTCTGTCGCCATCTCAGATCTCACAAATCAACTCTGACTTAATCTGAAGTGAAACCAATGAAACAAAAAAGGAAATACTTAATCTTACCTAATATAAAGTAAGAAAGACAGAGCATTAGATCATGCAAGAGTGTAGAGTAGTAGTTAAAAGTACATTGAAGGAAGGAAAAGATACAAGGCTAAGCTCATTCCTTAACTACAAACTGAATCAACAAGACTGATTAATTAAAAAAAAAATTCATATGATCCTTACTTAAAATTGGTTATTTTCGATGCGAAATATCAAACCAACAAACTAGAGTCAACACAGAGACTTGATGACATTTTTGGCTTATGATCCACAGTTTCTTAGGATTTAGAGGAAGATGCAACCAAGGGAGGGACTAGAAAGATGAACTTTGCATAATAAACCTTGGAAACCAAATTGGGGGAAGAGATCTATGAAATGGAAACGCAATAGAATTTCAAATCAAAAATCTTTGAGGCATTTACACAAACACTTTGAGTGCATGTAAGGGATGTATAGCTACAGGCAGAGAGAGAAATCACCGAAATGAAATTCCTTTCTCTCTATATAATTCTTCATAGTCATAAACATGATCCTATGATCTCTTCTAGAATATAAGAAAAAACTTTACCTTGGAGGTAGAAGAAGCGTTGACAAAGTCGTCGTCGTCGTATAAGAGCGATGAGGATTTTCAAATGAAGAAGCTCAGAGAGCCATCGCAGCTTAAACCCTATAAAACCCCCACAACCAGATCGAGAGTCAGAGAGAGAGATTGATTGACAGCTGATGACAGTTATACTCCTTTCCCTGACCGTCTGATTTTTTTTTGGTTTTCTTTGGTATAAGATGTGAATTCAATTACGGTTTGGTTTAACATATACACTTTTTTAACATATCAATTACCAATTTGACATCTTCTTCAATTATATATTTCAATTTGTGTAAAACACAATACTTTATAGATTTTTGAAATCTTATTAACAAAACTGGTACTATAATAACATTCCCCATTTACAAATGACCTTCTTAAGCCATCTCAGTAACTCTATTATAGTGTAAATATTGCTCCAATGATTTACTCTATAATAGAATAGAGTTACTCTATTATAGAGTGAAATATAGAGTAATCCCATTATTTCACTCCAAATATAGAGTAAAAAAGTGATATTCCTTTATATTTCACTCAATAATAGGATAACTCTATTATAGAGTAAACCATTGGAGCAAAATTTATACTATTATAGAGTTACTCTATTTCAGTGTAAACTATAGAGTAAAAAATAATGTACCATTGGAGATGGTTTTAACTGTTATACATCAATTTGTTTGTTTGTTTGTTTCAGGGTTTCAGCTCAAACACTGTTTTTTTTTTTGGTCTAAAGCTCAAACACTGTTGATCTTTAGAAACCAACCAAAACATTTTCTTAAACCATGATGAGCAACAAACTTTTTTTTATGCCACACAGGAAAATCACAAAAAACATTGTACTTTTGCAAGCTTTACACAATGAGCTTCAAGAGCCCACAGGAAAAAAAAAAGTGTCCAAAGAAAGAATGGTAATAATCCATGGATGTGGGCTTATATAGTTCCATCATATCCTTCTCTTCTGAATCAAGCTTCCAAAGGTTCTTCAAGTACTGCACCAAACAAAGAGAACGTGCTTATAAGGTTCTTTGTATGAAGCAATTCTTACTTAGACAAAATACTACAAATAAGAAGAAGAAAAAACCTTTTCTCTTTGTTGAAGCCATTTCTGCATTGGGAACGAGTGGTTGTTTTGTCGGCACATCAGGGAGATCCAATAACTCGTCTTCTTCACGCACGGGCTCTGTTGTAGGCACGTCTGGCATGTCTTCAACATTGAGCTTTCAACAATCAAACATACATTATATATCACCACTTTGACCCAACTCAAGAAGATAATAACAAATTAATAGGGACAGAAAAGAATGTAATGCGAGAGGAGCCATGATGTGATACCTGACTTTCGAGGTTATCGAATTCTGCTAAGATCTCTTCTTCATCTTCTTCTGATAGTTTCTCTCCCAATATGGCACTCAGCTCCTAAAATCCAAAATAGTTCAACGAAGTTAAACAAAGCAAACGAATACTCAAGATCAAAAGGAAGCAGAAGTAGATAATACACATGCTTATTAGTGACTCACATCCTGATAAGCTTTGGCCTCGGCAGTGTCATCCATAAGCTTTTGAACATCATCAAGGTTGACTTCACTCTGAATCGCCTTAATCGCACTGTTACCTTGCTTCAAGCTCTCAAAGACTGCCTTCTGCTTGCTTGTTAGTTCAATATCTGCCAACTGAGTCACACCAATATGTTTGTTTTTCAGGTTTTCTTCAAAAGACTAAACCAAACTATGAAAGAAGAGACAAAATGATAATAAGAAGGATCTTTTACTTGTTGTTCGACATTGATAACCCACTGATCCACTTGCTTTAACAAATCTTCTTGTGTCCGCTTCTTCTTCAATGCTAACAAAGCCCTGTCTTTCCGCTTCTCACGGATTAAGTCTCTCGCAGCTTGCTTTTCAGCTTCAATCACTTTCTCAAGCTACAAGAAAATGAGGTTACAAAGAAACATCATTCTATTTCTAATAAGCGATCAAACTCACAAATTTAATAACCAATGATTTATCATTAGCCTGACATAAAGAATCAAAATTTGGATCCAAGACACATTCTGAAGGAAACTACATCACCCATTTTGACAAACAATGGAAGAAAACAAAGCGAAGACAACAGAAAGTGAACACCTTTTAATTGTTCCTCTAGTTTTCCAACTACAAAGATATTAGAATCACACTTAAAATCTCAGATTCCAGAAAAAAAAAAGATCCAATTAAAGTACAATCAAGCCCTAGAAATGAGAGTACAAAGCGAGGGGAGGTGGGGGAATCTAAGATTCCAGAAGGAACACCTGTTGCTGGTATTGACCAAGCTTGCGTCTTTGGGTTTTGAGAGAGAGAATCGCTCGATCAACCTCCGTGATCTTTGGTTTCTTCACGAACATATTCCCCATCTCTCTCTACTCCACCTTCGTAGAACAACAACGCGATTTCAAACCCAAAGTCTCAATCTTTTCTTGTTTTTTCATAAGCCAGAAAGAGCCTTAAGCCTAAAAAAAGCTTCGGCCTTTAAAGTTTAGCCGCGCGTTTTCTCAAAATCGCGTTTTGAAATTGCGTTCCGAATCCAACAGAGCTGTTTTAACAGTTGAAAATTTATCAGAAATCGCGTTTTGAAGTTGCGTTCCGAATCCAACAGAGTTGTTAACAGTTGTAAATTTATCAGAAATCACGTTTTGAAGTTGCGTTCCGAATCCAACAGAGCTGTGTTAACAGTTGTAAATTTATCAGAAATCACGTTTTGAAATTGCGTTCCGAATCCAACAAAGTTGTTAACAGTTGTAAATTTATCAGAAATCGCGTTTTGAAGTTGCGTTCTGAATCCAACAGAGCTGTTTTAACAGTTGTGAATTTATCAGAAATCGCGTTTTCTCAAATCGCGTTTTGAAATTGCGTTCCGAATCCAACAGAGCTGTTTTAACAGTTGTAAATTTATCAGACGCACTACAACAGCGCGTGTTCGGTGAACGCTTTTCATAAATACATACGGCGAGAAAAGTGACGCCGCTTCACTTTCCTTCGGAAATCTGTAAAAGAAACTTCTCAAGAGTCGAGTTTTTAGAAGCAGAAGAGAGGTTTCTCTACCGCTACAGCGTCCCGACCAGGTCCCTCTCTCTCTCTCTCGTTTCCTTAACTTTGTGATTTTGTTTGATTTTTGTTTTTGCGAGTTCACTTTGGTCTGAAGGGAGATAGCTTTTTCTGGGTCTACTTTTATATTTTTATTTAACAGGTTACTTACTGGAGAATAATGTCGTGGAGAGGAAAGAGAAAAGACGAAGGTGTCAGAGCATCAGATGACGAATCTGAATCCCACGCTCCGGCTAAGAAAATCGCAAAGCCAACCGAATCTTCCGACGAGTCTGACGACATCGTCGTCTGCAATGTTAGTCTGCTCTCTCCCTCCATCTCTCTCCGTTTGTATAACATTTGAATCTCGTATTCGACTTAGACTTCAATAAAGCTTTGATTTTTTTTGTAGTGGAGGTTTTGCCCAAATTAGGTTTTTGACGAAAATTTAGGGTTTATAATGAATGTTTGTTGGGTTTTTGTGTTCAGATATCTAAGAATAGGAGGGTTTCTGTGAGGAATTGGAACGGTAAAATTTGGATTGACATACGTGAGTTCTATGTCAAGGACGGTAAAACTTTGCCTGGCAAGAAAGGTACACTCTTTTTTCTTTTCTCCCTCTCTCTTGTGAGTTTAGTTCAGTTTTGCGTTGTTAAGTTTCTGCATCTACTCTAGAGTGTAGAGTGTTAACGTTACTGCATACTATTAGGTTTTGTATGACAGGCAATTCTGCAGATTGGGAATGTACTAGTCTAGTGGTGTCGATACTAGTTGTCTCTAGGAAATAGCTAACATTCGTTGCGTAGTCTTGTTGAAATTGACAAGTTTGTTTATATTTTGTAGGTATCTCTCTAACCGTGGATCAGGTATTAACATTCTTCTCCCTTTGCTTTTTGTTTGTTAACTGATTATGTCTTGCTCATTGCTCATGATCTTTTCTTACATTGTAGTGGAACACTCTTCGGAACCACGCAGAGGGTATTGACAAGGCTCTCGCTGACCTTTCTTAGTTTTTCTAAAACTTGTTTTTGCTTCATCGATAGTAAAGTCTAGTTTAAGATCACTCCCAAGTGTTTTTGTTTTTCTGGATCTACTTTAAGCCTCTTGACATAACACTATGTTCTGCTGCAAAATTATGATTACTCTTTGTTTTATGTTGAAATTATAACTCAAGATACATTGCAGGAACTTAAAAATGATACATCGACACTTAATTGATTGTTCTCCAGTACATTGTCTTATAGAGCTGAGAAAAAGAAAGAGTGAACATAACCGGAACAAGACAATGTATTTCTCGATATTAAACATTGCATCAGCTACCAGTTCAAAAATAAACTTAAGCTACTCAAGCATCTGCTGGTTAATGTACTCTGCAGCTTCCCAATATCTAAGGAGACAGTCATATGTTTCCTCTGCTCACTGAGGAGCACGAGGAACACGTGTATAGATTTCTAGGTCTGACTTTAGATGCATTAGTACCAAACCTTGGAGCTTTATTGGTTGTACTTTTCAGACACCTGCCTTAAATTGAGGATAGATACTTCCAAAAGTTACAAAGATTCTGATAATTTCCAAGATCCAAGAACCATACATGTTCTTGATAAGTGAAAGGTAGATCATTATGTATATAACTTTTATCACAATAGGCTGCTCGGTGGACAGCTTACTTTGACTATTTGAAGATTTTCTCTTTTAACCTAAACCATCCAAATTGCTCCTTTTAACTTTCACTTTCTTATTATAAAAAAGCAATGAAATGTCAGTGTCACTTTGATTCAAATTCCATCTTACCATAACAAAAGATTCAAACATAATGGATTTCTACAACTTGATTATTTTAAATTGCATGGTTTAAAACATAGTTGATAACTTTATTACAAAGATGATACGATACATCAAATGGAAACTTACATTATACACATTTTTCAATTCCTTCTTTCAAATGCTTAACATAAACAATAAGCTTTATACACCAAATTTTCTTGTGTTCATTGGTCCTTTTTCATCATCAATTATCAATCATCAGTACGTAGACTGGAAAGGCTTGTAGACTTTAAGATCAAGCATCACTCCGGCGATTGATCCAACTCCGGCGACCACCGAGATCACTAGACAAGAAACACTAAGCATCTGCAAACAAACCCACCTCGTGCTCCATTTCTCCACCTTCCTCTGCTTAATATACATCTCCACAGGAAAATAAACCGTCAATGGCCAAAACCCTAAGGCTCCCAAGATCCCAACCACGTCGTTAAAGAACGGCATAAGCATCGATATCACTGTGGTTAGAACGACGAAACAACACCTGAAAACTACCCTGAAAACGTTTGTTTTGTATGGAGACCTAAACCCTGGGATTTTGAATTCTAGTTCCTTGGTGAGCAAGTCATTGTCAGGAAACCTCTCTGAGACTGATTTTTCAGCGAAGGAGAAGATGGGCTGAGAGAAGACTTGGTATGCTCCTATGAGGTGGATGACGATGGCGGCGTTGGCTATGTCGATGAGCCAAAACGGGTTGTAGAATCCGAAACCGGTGAGGAGGTTTCCTGGTGCTGCATCTCCAAAGGCTGCGTAACCCATTGAGCCACATAGCATGTAGAAGATTGTGGTGACTGCAATGCTGATCTTTGTAGCTTTCTTCATCGTTTTTGTTTCTGATGGTGGGGATCTTACAGTGTCCTAAATGTGACAACAGCAAGTGAATATTTAGTACAAAGAAACTATAAAGTTGATTCTTTTTGTTTAGGGCTTAATAAAAAAATGGAAGCTTGTGTTCCAAGAAAGGTTTTTATTTTCTTACCTGAATCTCTATAAGGACAACAGAGTAGGAGTAAGCAAAGGCAATGTCACCAAGTGCTTGAAAAGTTCTCCATATCTTCTGTGTTTGAGTCACTGCTCCTATGCTTATTCCTGTTAGGCTTCCTTTGAATACTCCATTTGCTAGAGAGATTTCAAATCAACCAACATTTTTAGCATTTTTTTCAACTTATTCAAAAAAAATTATGGAAGTATTTTTTTGTAGTTTGTTTCTCACCAGCAACTTGAACAATGCCGAGAGCTAGACCAATGGCAGAGTAAGTAAAGGACATGACAGCTGCTACAATAGAGATCCACCAAATCTGGTCAAAGTCAGGAACCTGAGAGAGCAAAATCTCTGTCACACCAAATATAATCATGTAAGGGTTGCTAGACATGTGACACGGGTCTTTTCCTCCACTCTTGTGGAAACAGTTCGATCTCTTAATCGCCCTGCATGATCCATTAATAATGTTAACAAACATTAAAACCTTTTTCTTTGTCTGAAGATTGTTTCACAAGTAAACTAAAGAAACACTCACATCATGCTTATAGATGCTGCGATTGTGTAACCTATTGCGACACCAAACAGATTCAAGTATTGAATCAGCCCACAAATCTTGAACTTGAACCCACCTGTAATAAAAAACAGATCATCTCAACATCTAAAATCCAAAAACAGAGCAATAAAACAGAGAAACAGAGTATTATTTACCGAGAATGGATCGAACTGCGTCCATGTAAGTGTAGTTTCTCTTTCCAGAGACTGAATCTCCGGTTCTGTAGCAGTCGCTGAGAAGTGACGAAGAGAAGAGAGTAACAAAAGAGAACAATAGCATCACCGTAGGTCCAGCGATCCATCCGAGCTGTGCAATGGCCCATGCCAACGAGAGAACGCCTGATCCGATCACTGCTGTAATTATATGAGCGCTTGCTGTCCAAACAGTCCCTAGATTATTACAAAACAAAAACATGTTTTTATTTTTCCTTGTTTTTTATGAAAAAGAAAAATTGATATTCTTGTTTTGTTTAGATTGTAACCGGTTCTTTTGAGACGGCCATCATCGTCGAAGCATTTGAAAGCAGGTTGTTGAGTGACTGCCACGTCAAAGACTTGGTGGCCGTGATGGTGGTTCTTGGCGGCAGCAGTTTCACCCATCTGTTAGTAATAAACCAAAGTTAGTTTTACATGTTTTCTTTCCCATAAAACCTAATATTACAATGAAAGAGTGGCTCACAAGAAACTAGTCATACCATTATTATTATTATTATTGTAAAGTTTATTTTTGAATTTGAAACCAGCTGATAATATTGAAAGTATAAGTGAATGTAGTAGTAGTGATAGTACCTCCTCTTATTGAGTCTTAAGAGAAGTATAAGACTATTATTACAAAAGCTATGAACACAAAGAAAGAAGAGAAAAATGCAACTAAAGGAGATGGGTGGTGATAGGAGTTGCTGCTGCGTTTCAAATTGGTGTGATGGTCACCGTCTTATATAAGCCATTAAAAGTGAGGAATATTAATTAATTAATTAACTAAAAATATACAAATTATTTTGGTTGTGTCAATTATTTCAATTTTGACAAAGTTTTGTGTAGTTGGGTGTTTTCTTTTTCTCTCCACCATCGTTAGTGACAGGTTATAAGAGAGAATCGAATGCTTGTGTTCTCTCCTCCGTACCTTTTGGGGTCGACTTAAATCACTCAGATATAATATACTGTTTTTATATGAATAGAAAATTTCAAAACGTCATTATTACTTCAAGTGCATATGGATCTATAGGTCATTAGGATATACGACGATTAGGATTATATAATTAGAAAGAATTTATGCTGTCTTAAGTGCTTAAATATAGTATTATATGGTATATGGAATGTTCATCTAGCTGTTCCTCCATATACCCTGGAGAGTTTCTTTGCGCATGCCACGCGTGGTGTTTTTGTTTGAAAGTCGATCGAAAGAAAAAGATGGAAAGTGAATTATGAAAGTTTAGTAGTTTCGAGAAGGATACATACTTTTGTTCATGTACCTAACAATAAGACAAACTACAAGTTTTTAACCGATGATGATAAATATCAACAGTAATCCATATTTCAGAATCAGATAAATTTGATATAAACGAGTGAAGTTATAAGAAACTTTCATATATAAATTATAATTTGAGCCAAGTAGCAATACCGTCCAATATCGTAGTGATGGATGTGACTAGTTACATTGAGAATTGAATCGAATTTGTCGAGTGCTCCTATCATATCCACCATCATCTCATTTTTGGTTACTTTTTAGTATTTTAAGATCATCTTAACTCTGCATTAAGTTCTTTTGAATTCCAAGATTATGTATTGCTAAATTCTACTATTTTTTCTCACCAAACTAAATAATTCACTCTTCTTTCTCCACTCATATGTATTACTTATAGTTGTATTGCTTATAAGAAAAATGATGTTGTACTTGCAGTTGCCACAATATTTAGTTGGGTGAGAAAGAAGATCCAACAAGAAATCTACAAACTAAGAAACACATGTTGAGAAGCTTAAATTCATAAGCAGAGAAGAATTGCAAGGAATATACAACACTTACCAATTAGATTGGGAGTTTTGGATTTTGGTTCTATTTATTTTTACCATTTTTTCGGTCTAGATATAAGATTCATTCTGTTATTTATTAAATTTAGTAAGGTTTCGATTCAGTTATTTTAATTTCTAGTTTTGTTCGGGTATCAAGATTAGAAACCGACTAATATACAATAAAATTTTGGATTCAGTTCAATTTTAATTTTAAGATAATTTGAGTAAAAATCAGATAAAAATATAATTAGTAAATTTAGGTGTATGAACTATATTTTAGATATTTGAGTATAACATCGTAACTTTATCTATTCAGTTCTCGATTCGGTTTTGGTTCTAAATATTTTAAATATGTTCGATTATTTGTGAACTTCCGGTTGGTTTCGATTTTGATTGTTAGTTTTTCCTTTCAGTACGGTTTTTAGTTCTTGATTTATATGCCCAAATCTAGGAGCAACCATAACGGGCATAGTCTTGCCAAACACAAATAATTTCGGGTCTGATTTTGATCTCCAGCTACCGAACCCATTTTTCTTAATAACCCAAATTGAGGCCCATATATGGCCATTATGCTCAGATTGTAGTGACTATAAACGGAGAATAGAAGGTCCAACATGGCCCATTGGTGCTGCGTTGCTGAATGCAATTCACTGCTCAACACTACCCAATGAAAAAATTTCGAACGCAATTCACGGTTATAGTCTTATAGAGCACGTCTTAATTTACTTTTATATAAGACAAGTAGTCATATACATGACTAGTCTATATTTGATGATGCATGAATGTTGTTAAAAATGTGTGTTAAGTTTCGACAAAGAGGTCCCCGCTGTCTCCTTATCCAGTTTCTTGAGCATATTCCCGAAAACCTAAATAAAACAACACAAAAAAAAAGCAATTAATTCATCGCCAAGAAGATATATAAAATAGAGTATATGCTTTAGGTCAAGTTCGACAGCTATGACATCAAGCTCCACGAAGCTTCCTATATCAATTCACGTGACTTAAACAAACAACTGCAAAAAGTATAAAGGCAGTTTATCAGTATAATAACAAATTCAGATCAAGGCCAGATACAGTTTATCTGATTTTTTATAATAGGGAAAAGCATATTAGTCAATCGATCTTATGACTCTTTATCTTTACTGTTACCAAACGACAATTAAATAAACTACATGCATCATGATCATTTCATTCTTGTACATACTTATTTACATATATGTGTATGAGATGATATCACTTATGTAAATGTCTATATTCTTATACCAATAAACAAAATCCATATAGACAAATGTCATGTTTGACCAAAAAAACCGTATTATTCATTTGGGTTTTGAAGGAGTTCTAATGCTTACAAAATAAAGACCATATCTCAAGAAACATAATGTTGAATAGAACATAATACTAATATATATGTGATAGGAAACGTAAGTGATGATAATCAAACGGGGAACAAGCCCACGTCGGTCTTTAAACACCTACCTCAACTTTCCTTTCAAATATTTTTAAATATAAGAGACTTCGTGCACATCATTTTTAATTAAACAAATATAATATAAGGGAAAAAGAGGAAGCCGGAGTGATTACTATTAGCGATTGCAACAAACCAACGATTTTTTGCTACATAAAATAACTAAATCAACGATCCAACCCTAGATGACGTCATTCGTCATGACGTGAGCTTCGCTCAGTGAGGAAGTTATAATATGCTGCGGAGAAGTTCATCGTAGTTTCTTCAACTATCCAATCACAAGTCACACTCAAAACTTCCACTACAAGGAACCTTGACATGTCTTGAGCAAGTTTAGCAATAGTTCAAGCGGTGTTACAAAAAAAAAGACTAGTTTGTCCAATTCAACGTAGTAAAAAGTAAGGCTGCTGAGGAAAATTATTTGGCCCAAAACACATGTAGAGCATGTGCAATGGGGAATCCTTAGGGGAGTCCTTAGGAAAAAAATAAAAAGGGTATTTCAGATTATATAAGAATATTTCAGATTTTTTCTTTAAAAAAAATAAAACTGACCACTCACAGACCGCCACGTGTGCAATGGAGCCCATGAATAGTGTAAAGATTGATCCTTACATAAGGATTTTTAGGATAAAATCCTTAACTATTCATGGGACCCAGTAATTATAAAATTAATATTTTTCTAAGAACTCCCCCTAAGGATTCCCCATTGCACATGGTCTAAGATCTGAACTTATCCGATTGAAACATTTTTGTTCGAATGAATGTAAAATTTATTCAAACATAACATTAACTCAAGTATAACTATTGTTGATTTCTATAAAAAGCCAAAGAATTAAGAAATAAACGTGTCTTAAATCTGACCAAATAACATTCGTGTCCCAAACCACATACATAATCCTTCATTAAAATTTAACATTTAGACGAAAAAATATTTCTTTCTATTTCCTTTGAATGCAAGTAGTTCTATAGATGTAGTTTCATAGAGATAGACCCCTAAATTCTGGAAAAAAACAACTTTTTAATAAGAAATGTTTTAAGCTTCCAAATTCTAAGATCAGAACCTACCAAAACAAAGACATAAAAAAGCCTGGTAAGTAAAAGAACAAAATGGATAAGCTACAACAAGCCTACACTGAGAAGCAGAGGATTAGGTATTGACACTTGTCACTTGTGGTTGGTCATGGTCAACAATCTACGAAGGGTGCAAGTGACGTAAGCAATGACGACATCACTGCTCTCATTAAGTCGACCTCCCAATAAGACTAGGCCACGTCTATAACCAGCTGGCTGCGGTCAGCGTAGAAAAGAAAACGGTCGGTTTTGCCGCACGTGCTTGAAAACCCCCACGTGTCATCTCTGTCTTTTTCTTTTGTTTTTTTTAAATTCAATTAAGTAATTTTCGGCTATTCTTGTCCTTATAAAACCTTCGTCTTCTCACTCTCATCTCTTCGATTACAATCTTCAACAGACGAAGGAGAAGCAAAAAAAAAAAAAAGAACGAAAGAAAAACTCAGAGATTTTGAAGGGAGAATGAACGCAGAGCTGAACTTACCAGCAGGATTCAGATTCCATCCAACAGACGAAGAGCTTGTGAGATTCTACTTGTGTCGGAAATGCGCATCGGAGCAGATCTCAGCTCCGGTTATCGCCGAAATCGATCTTTACAAGTTCAATCCTTGGGAGCTTCCAGGTAAAAAATCTAATCATTTTTTCCAGTGAAATTCTTGAGAATCAAATGTTATTAATCATTGAGAGATTTGTTTTTTTTTTATTACAGAGATGTCTCTGTACGGAGAGAAAGAGTGGTACTTCTTCTCACCAAGAGACCGGAAATACCCAAACGGTTCGCGTCCTAACCGTGCAGCTGGAACCGGTTATTGGAAAGCAACCGGAGCAGATAAACCAATCGGTAAACCGAAGACTTTGGGTATAAAGAAAGCTCTTGTCTTCTACGCTGGGAAAGCTCCTAAAGGGATTAAAACGAATTGGATTATGCATGAGTATCGTCTCGCTAATGTTGATAGATCAGCTTCATTAAACAAAAAGAACAACCTACGAGTATGTTCTGTCTTTTTTTCTTGAGTTCTGTTTTTTTTTTTTTTTTTTTTGGTGTGAATGTTATGATATGATTACTAACTTTGTTTTTTTGTTTTTTTGTTTTTTTGATAACAGCTTGATGATTGGGTTCTATGTCGAATCTACAACAAGAAAGGAACAATGGAGAAATATTACCCTGCGGATGAGAAACCAAGGACCACGACATCAATGGCCGATCAATCATCATCACCCTTTGATACATCTGACTCCACTTACCCAAACGATTCGAGCAGCTCAGGCGGTCACGTAGTGTCACCGGATGCCAAGGAGGTTCAGAGCGAGCCTAAATGGGGAGAGCTTGAGGATGCTTTAGAGGCTTTTGATACTTCAATGTTTGGTGGTTCCATGGACTTGTTGCAGAGTGATGGTTTTGTTCCTCAGTACTTGTACCAGCCTGATTATTTCAGCCCTTTCCAGGATCCTCACGAGCAGAAACCATTCTTGAATTGGAGTTTTGCTCCACAGGGGTAATAAAACCTGTGTCGTGATGTCCTAGAGAGAGGTTCATGATCATCTTTGTTTCTTAGTAGTTTAAAAATGATTCTAGAGTGTTGATAGTTCTTTTAGCATCAATGTCTCATCTGTAGACAAATTCTTGTAACTTTATCATAAATTTTATATGAAAAAATATACAGATTCTTCAAGATGTTGTAGATACTGATATAAAGATATGATAGCCTAACCTTTATTAAGAGCTCTTTCTTTCCAAAACCAGAAGTTTTGTTTCAGAATCTTTATATTGGCTTATTATGCATGCGAGGGGATTTCCTCAACACTATGTCTTGAAGTCTTTTGATTCTGGCCTTCTTGGCCCGTGGTTTCTTTTGAGAAACAATCTCTCTTTCCTTTTGTTCATGCTGTTTGGAGGTCTTCATTGGAGTCTCGTGAAAGACTTCTTTGCTTTTTATATTTTCGGTTTCACATCCTCGGTATTCACAACATGGAACCACGGGTTTATCAAAGGAGCTGATGATCTCAGAGAGCTGGCTTTCTATCTTTTGGGTAAGCTTCCTCAGTTCTTTGCAGCTTTCCTGTAAATAAAGTGACAATAGAAAGAATACTCAGACCTGTTTTTCATCAGCTCATAAACACACAAGTGACATAAACAAACAAGGATTTTTGTAATTACCATAGACAAAGGCAAATGAGAAACATCAATCTCTGAGACAGCTTTCTTCTGCTGGTCTTTCTCTCTGCACTGCTTCAGCATTTTCCTATTTACCCAAAATCCCCAATGGGAAAACATGAAATTTATCAAAGCCGATTCAAAGCTGAAAATATACAAACAGGGAAAAGAAAAGGATCAGAGGCTTACTCTAGAGCAATGATATTACTGCATGCTTCGGTTTGACTTTCCCAAAGTGTTTTATATGCTACACTCATCGCTTCCACACATGCTTCCTTCACCATGTCAGATGTTCTATGCTTTTTCGGATTTCCTTGTTTTGAGTTTGTTTCCCTTAGGTTTTCTTCTCCTTTACATGACTCTTCCATCAGAACATCATTTTGCTCATCCAGAACAACTAACTCATGTCCCTCACTGTTTGCTTCAATCCTACCTTCACTCCCACTTTTTTCAAGAGCCGCTTCTGGTTCTACAGCAAGTCCCTCTTTACTACAAGTTTTAACAATCGTCATACTCAAACATGCTTTGCCTCCAGTGTCACTTACTTCAGTAACGTTAATGTCACCACATGCTTTACGTTTGGGACTGGCTCTTGATTCAGTCAAACTCCGTTCTTCCAACAAACCAACCTCATGATTCCCAGACTTCAAAGTTTCAACACTCCTTACCTCATCTGCCATACACTGATCATTCGTTCTTAACAACATCTCAACCCCCTTTCTTTCAGTATCATTAGAAGAAGCAGTCTTCTTCAATCCCGGAAGAGTATAACAATAGTTGCTGTAGTCACAAAGTATCTCTCTTTTCTCCACAAGCTTAGCCAAATGATGACTAAGCAAACTCGTGTGAGCAAACGGCAAGCTCTCATACCTAGACTTTATAAACTCTGATATCGCTTCTTCGCAAGAGCCACCTTCTTCATTCAACTCCGTGATAGCAATAAAAATCATCTGAAACAAAAATGTATACACTCATAAAAACACAGCAGAGACATGTATCCATCCACATAAGAGATTAAGCATTGTTATACATACAGCAGAGTAAGTAGGATGATCAGGAGCACGTGATAAACACATGTCCAACAATCTCTGTTCGAAGAGTCTACTCTCAGGAAGCAATAACCCTCTCGAATTCGCTAGTTTCACCATAGAGGCTCTCAGATTCTCAACTTTTCTTCCATGTGCCTGTCATAAAATATAATTATTCATATCTAATAGCATGAAAAGGTTCTCAAAGTGTGACATCAAGCTACGTTAAACAGAAACAGACCCAGAAACTAGTGATTTGGATCCTAACTTCTGTAAACATAAACTACAAACACAGAATCGAAGAAGACAATAAGCAGAGATTACAAACCATTGGCACTATTATAGTAGAATCAGCCACGGGAGATGAGTTGAAGCTCTTAGAATGTACGCAGAATCGGCGCTTAATGGAAGTTAGAGATTTGCCAATGTGAGAGGGACGACGTCTATTTATATCGAACTAAACCGAATCAAACCGGCACAAATCGCAAGATATATGCTTTTTAATTTAAACCGGTCGGTTATGCTTAATATCTGAAAACTGTAGAGATGGCAATTGGGCTCTCCCGTCCCGTCCCGTCCTGCTGCGGATTCGTCTTCCAGTGGAACACAACGGGCATGTCCCGCGTGGGATGCGGTTTTGAAAATAGCGCTCCAATCCCGTACCGCATTTCTTGTAGGCCTTCGTGGACCGTCATGCGGAACATGTGATAATATGTGCAGCTGAACGATTCAGACTCCTCCAAAACGTTTTAGGCCATTTTAGGACATAGTTCAAATCGTCGATTCAACTGAACATAATTCATCAATCACTGATTTGCTTATTTTTTTATTCAAAACAATAATTGTAATTATTTGTATCATAGCCAAAACATATTAACATACAAAGTAAAAAAACTGCAGAAAATATTTTTCATTATTTTATAACTCATAAGTTCATAACCAATGTTTTAGTTTGCTGAATCCAAAAATAAAATAAAATGAAACACTAAATCAAAAATATCAATCCCAAATTAAATAAAAAAGAAACCAAATCAAAACACTACTAAAGCTCGAATCGTCATCGCTGGAGCTGTAGTCATCATCACCGGAGCTCGAATCATTATCATCGAAGGTCAAACTATCATCATCGCCCGATCTTCTTATGTTTTCTCAAGGGAAATCACATGAATCGTCATCTTCTCATTTATTCTCTCGTTTTTTCCAAGTAGAAAAAAAAAATGCGGGTCTTTGTAACCCCGCATGACCCGTTTCGGCATATCCCGCAAAAGATCTAATTCCACAAAGATCCATCCCATAAGGCCCACAAATTTGCGGATCTACAAAACTTCGTCCCAATACTTTTCTGCGACAGTTCTTTACGGGCTAGGTCCGCGGTTCAGATCCATAATTGTCATCTCTATTGAAAAGTCAAAGGAAGGGATGATGACGACGATTTATATCAAGTTAAACCGAATCAAACTGCGATACATGAATTTTAATTTAAACCGTCCGGTTATGTTTGCTACCCTAAAGGGAAATAAAAAGCAAAGGAAGAAGACGAAAACGTTAAGACCAGAGATGCTTCCATTAAAGCTAGCTCGCTCTCTTCTCCTCCACGAGACTCTCAATCTCACCCACAATGCCGGCGATCCAGACGACGGACACGGAGAAACCAGCATCCGAGAGATCCTAAACTCCCACAAGAACCAATCAAAAACCAAATCGAGATCCGACAAGAACAACAAGAAGACAAGAAACTCGAAAACGCCTTTACTCTTCTTCGTCCCGACACGAGAACTAATCTCAGACACATACAGACTATCATCAATCGCTAGAGATCTAGGTATGGATCTGTACCCAACACCTTCCCTCTCACACATCATCTTCTCATTCCCCTCGCGCGAATCTGTCTCCCCGTCTCCGTTCTCTACGTCCTCTCACCCTTCGACTTGGTCTTCCTCCGCTGCGTCGATGTCTTCCTCTCTCTCTTGGTCTCTCCCAAACGACGCCGTTATGCTCTCTTTCCCTTCTCTCTCGGCCTCCTCTTTATCTCATCTCCGTTCCTTCGTCTCCCTCTCCAACGGCTTGTTCAAGCTCGTCTTCTCCGCGGTAGACACCCCTTCCTCCTCCGTTAGCAATTGGGATTGTTGCTCTGTTTCTCTCTTTTGTCGAATCACTAGCAAAAGGATTGGATCGATGGAGGGGTTCTCGCAGGCGTTGGCTTCTAACGGATGGACATTTTACAAGACGAAGGCTAATTCGTCGTTGACGGAATCTGCAGGGAACAGTAATGCGGCGTATCTGTTTAGGAAAGTGTATTCGGGTCGGGTTATGATGACCCGAGATGGGAATGGTGGTGGTGGGGCGTGTAGAGTGAGAGAGCTGAGACTTCCTCAATTGGATTTCAAGAACGCTCCTCTAAGGATTCTGCAGTATCTCATGTTGATGACTGATGATCTCTTCTTCCTTGCATAGCTTTAGTTTATGTTTTGTTTTGTCTTTTTGTTGTTACAATGTAAATATTTTCTATATTGTTAATATAATCTCACCACAAATTTGAAATGGCTAATAGTTATTTTACATTTATGTGTAAGTCCGTCCGTGATAGACGTTTAATAAGTTTCACAACAATGAAGTTGACTTCTTCTTGTAGTCCCCGTCGCTTTTTGAAAAACTTCATTTATAGGCCTTTATCCTTTGTTTGAATTAGAGTGCGTTGTCCCCTCAGTCACTTTCGGCGGGTGAACTAGTAAACAACATGGGCAAGATCATATATGATTTGCCTGATGTTGATGATTGGCCTTTCTTTTCTGTTGATAAATTGTTTTTATTTTCAGTTTATATATCATAACTAAAAGTTAGTAAGTTCATTTTATATAAAAGTTTACACATTATTATTTGATTATTATACGTTTACAATTACATCCACGTAGAATTTGAGATACAAGTTAAACAGTCATAAAGGTTTTTTACTCTTCTTCAATCCCTGTCACCTCTTGTAACTTTTCATCACTTATGGAGTTATGGGCCTTTTCCTTTGGGTGACGAAGATCTCGGAGCGAGTATCGGCGGTTTAGGTTTGTAGGCGCCTGTTTTAACAATATGCACAAGTTCATATGATTTGTTTCTTTTTAACAAACTTTACACTGAACTTTAATAGGTTTAGCTAGTTAGTGTACACCATGCTTTCTGAATCATGCATAACTTTTGTATAGAAACGACTTTATTCATACTATTTGGTTTGAAATTTCAGTTACAAATCTACCTGGTGGTGGAGTTGCTGGAAATTTATCGGCACATCGAGAATCTGAATACCCGGTAGTAACTAGGGGAAAAAAAAATTGAAGCCAACGTAGAACGTGAACAAGTGGGCACAAGTTTAAACTATGTTATGCATAGAAAATATATAAAAAAATACTAACTTGTGTGGCGTCTGGCTTCGGCAACACCAATTTGAGAAGAAAGACATAGGAGCAAAGATAGAAGAAAAAGAAGAAGAGCAATTACATATGATTTCTCTTTAGCCATTTTTCAGCTTGTTTACTTTTCTCACTACAGAACTAACATTACATGAAATGCTATCTATATATTTTATAAGGGACTGAAATGAAGCATGGGACTCACCAGAACTAAACTCCAATTCTAACGCGGTTTTAAGAACTTAAATATCTCTGCTATCCAACAAATACTGAAGACTTTTGAGTCCACGGTTTTTGTCATACAAAACATTTGTTTGATAGTTAAAATACGTTGAAATCAAAATAAAGCACAATATATTATACAGTGGTAAGCACAATTTCTGAGGACTTAAAACGGAAAAAATTTAACAAGATAAGACCATAGTTCTTTTGAGGTAGTTCATGTCAAATTTGGAATAGCTATAGTTAGTTTACAACGAGTATAAAGGCCGTCCGTGATAAACGTTTAACAGTTGCACAATAATGGAGTTTGACTCTTGTTGTAGTCCTTACGACTTTTTGAAAGTGCGGTGTCCTCACTTTCGGCGGGTGACCTGGTAACAAAGTAACAACATGCGCTAATTATTATGATTAGTATCTTTTAACATTGGTTTGTTTAGTAACAAACACGCTGACTTAAACCGTTACTGTGTGCAAAACCATTTATTCAAACTATTTGGTTTTGAAGTTCGACTCAAAGGTCTTGCAGGAACACTTATTAACCTTCTGACAGATATAAGTGTATGGTTGATAGAGGTCATGAATCATGATCCGATAACAATTCTTTCTAGACAAAGTATATAATAACTTGAACAGTTGAAAATAACTGTAAATTATATGCTAACGTGTGTGGCGTTTGGTGTCGGCGACACTAACTTGCAAAGAAAAGACACAGAAACAAAGATAGAAGAAGAACAATTACATATGATTTCTCTCTAACTGATTTTTCTTTGCTGAGAACAAGAAAGTGTCCCTTGCGAAGTCAGCTAGAAGAGGACTGAGACAGGTTAACATACTATCAACGAAAACTTCTTTTTCATTCAAATCTGTTTAGAACAGGAAAGAAATGACAACTGAGGTGAAGATATTTTGTTGTGATTTGAGAAGTAAACATTCAACTTCTTTTTATCGGGATAACTAATTGTACATTTTTCTTCAAGAGAAGAAAGTAAACGATATTGACAAATACAGACCAAAAATATATAACACAACAAACCAGGAGAATGAGGATGGGAGAAGAAGAATGTTCAAGTGGAAGTATGAGCGTGAGAACGTGATGCCCAAATGCCAAACACTAGAAACCAGAAGACGAACAATATTGCCCAGTAACGTGCTGGTCCGTACCTGATCCTAGTCAGCACTACCTGTTTTGTATCAAAATCAGTTCAATTCATTCCCTTATCATCACAGATTTCAAGAAGACAAGAAAATTACTTACAAATCTGAAGAAGATGACTACTGTTAAAGCACAGAGTCCACCCAGGAGTATGTGCAGTCCACTCTTTGCAGTTCTCTGAGGTAAAAAAAAATATCAAAAACATCAGTCTTTTAACACTTTCTAAACAAAACAAAGAAGATTAGTATGATCTAATTAATTAGCATACATACTTTTCCAACACGAGGAGCAATGAGCCAAGCCAAAGTAACAGTGAGTAATCCTGTAGCGAGTAGTATCCCTGTACCTTCCACAGCCCATTTAGTCGCACGGCTCTCCATAGGCAATATATCAAAGCTTACTAAACCCAAAGGCTGTTCAGATGTAACTTGGGAAGAAGCAGCTCCTGCAGCAGCTGAATTACTACTACTATTATTGTTGTTTGGACAATGAGGACCAAACCATAACGAAATCTCACTAAGCCTTTGCCTTCTAATGGCTGCAACCGCATCAGGATCTATCCCTGAAGAGCTCGTGTTGTTGTTATTAACCGCTACAGGATTCGGATCTCCATCAGCTGTTCTTTCTCTCAGCGCCGCGTAGTCTTTCAACGCTATGACCACTTTGTTGAGATCAACTGTTCTTATATTCACCGCAACGTTTCCACATATCTCGCAGACGGTTGATCCGTGGTTAACAAACCATTTCAACGCGCAGGCGTAGTGTACCAAAGCGAGATCGTTTTTGCAAGAGCATCCTAGTTCTAGCAACGTGTCTCTATGCTGCCAAGCTCCCATTTCTATATCTTCGTTTGCGCAAACGAACACTTCTCCATCTGGACTTATCAGTTCGATGAAGCCGCTGGTTTTAACAGCTGAGGTTTTATGATCAGCTGTTTCTTGGTCTGCATTGCTTTTGCGAGGTTCTGAAACAGGAGGTGTGATGCCTAAAAAGCCTAGAGCAGCGTCTCCTCTTCTGTCGGATTCTGAACATTGGCACACACGGCAAGTTGGTAAGCCCGTGTCTTTGTCTGAACTGTAACGTGGTGGTGGTGGTGATTCATGATCTTCGTTTTTGGCAGGTGGAGAATCGTGATCATTGACTCCGCTATTGGTAATCTCCAACGGACTCTCTTTACCCATCAAATTCCAAAGAAAACCACAGCTGATACTTCTTCACAACACAACTAAAACCATTCCTCCAGAACTGATTCTACTCCATAGACATAGTAACCACCTTTAGACAGATCAAGAACAAGTTAGATATGACCCTTCACTGTATGATCTAATGGCTTCTGCTGCAAAGTTAAAACATACCAAAACATAAGGAGAAGCCAAACAGGAAGCAAAACACCAAACAAAAAATGAATAAAGATTAGAGAAGCATCAAGGGAGATAGCTTTTGTGTAAGAAAGTGAGGAGAAGTTGGTAACAAGACGCGAAAGAGACGTAGGAGCTATAATATATTAGTAAGATGCAACTAACCTATCAGAATATCAGATCACGGGAAGAAGAAGAAGAACCACTAAACACAAGTTTTTTTTCAATACATCACATGAAAAGAAGGTGGTCTGCAGCCAAATGAATAAAGATTAAATTTTGTAAAATGATTATAACGGAGAGATAATATTATCAAAATGTAATGTATACAAAGACGTCCTCAATTATGTTTTTTGTTTACTAAAAGCTTGGAAACAACAAGGATTCCACCACCAAACCAAACAAAGTCCCACTCATGAATAAAAATTAAAGACAAATAAAAAAATTAGATTAAAGTTTCTTTCTTTACTAAGTGTATTCTAAAAACATGATAAACCCAGAACACAGAACTAAGTAGATAGATGACAAAGCAAAAAGATCTACACTTGCAATAGAAAGATCAAGACTTTAGGAGAAAGAAGAGAAGAAACCAAACCTCCGGAGAATCTGGGGGGTAGAGATCGATTGTAAAGCAGCGAGAACAATGCGTCTCTCTCTATCTCTCTATTTATCTTGAATCTATGGCCGCCTAAAAGAAAATTATTGGGGAAATTGGGTATTTAGGTATTGGGATTTATCAAGGAAGAGAAAAATCTCATCCTTTCTCTCTATCTCTGAGCTTTGTGTTCAGAATCTTTTTATTTTTCTTTTTTTGGGATTAAATTTCTGGTTTTTCTTTTGTTAATCTTTACTTTTTTGTAATTAACAATTGGAAGTGATTTTAGTGACAGTTCTTATCACCAACCACTCGTATTCTGAAAAAGTTGTAGATTGTTCTTTTTCTTGTGTTTTGTTTCTCCTTAATAATAAAGAAGCATTTTTTTTATCTTCACCGAGTTAAAAAACTGTTCAGATTCCCACTTAAAAACGTATAAATCTTGTGCTAGAGTGTTTTGAAAATGGTGATAACAAAAGTTTCACTAGCGTTCGTTCAGACATAATTTCGTACTAAAATAATGATTATGTCAAAACGCATAGAACTTTAGTAAATAGCCGATCAAATTAGGAAAATCGCGTTTCGTGGCTGCTGTTCAGCCGCGTTTTTTTTTTCTCAATGTTTGGCAGCGTGAGCGATTTTTTCTTTTTAAGTCAAAACTAGAGAGAGCGTGGAACTCCCAACATCCATAAGAAAACTAGACACGCCTGAAAGTATTAACTTCGACGACTTTCCGGCAGAGTAGATGGCTCTTCTTTCAGCCGTATCTTCTCTCTTACCATTCTCTTGTATGTTCTCTTTTCTTCTCAATCCAATTTGAATAATGTTATATTCTACTTCAATTGTCGTCTCTGTGTTTGTTCAATTGGTTTAGAAGATTTTCATTTTTCCTAATTAGTCTTTTAAGGAGAGTTTAGATCAAAGTGTGAAGCTTTCTGATTAGATTTTAATCTCTGTATATGCAGAATAAGATTCATCTATTTTAGAACTGCTTCCATGTTATAAATGTTGAAACTTTTGGTGTTGTTATTATTGTGTGTTTCAGATGGAGCAACGAGACTAAGCAGTAAAGCTTCTTTGGCTTCAACAACATCTGGATTCAGTCTCTCTTCTTTTAGGAATTCACCTGGAAACCCTCTTCGTTTGAATGTGTCGAGGGGTATTGCAAACAGTGGTGGATACAAAGAGATTTCTGAGAATGAAACACCTCCCAGGACTTACTCATGGCCTGATAAGAAGGTTTTTATATAACTCTTTAAAGCATTGTGTTTGAGATGTAAGTTAACTTGGTGGATGTAAGTTGTTTACAGAGACCGAGGGTGTGTATTCTAGGTGGCGGGTTTGGAGGATTATACACAGCTTTGAGACTAGAATCTCTTGTATGGCCTGACGACAAAAAGCCTCAGGTGATGATGATTCTTTTGATTAGAGCATTGTGTTGTAAAAGACTTAATTGTTAAATGCATTTTGATCAGGTTGTTTTGGTTGACCAATCAGAACGTTTTGTGTTTAAACCAATGTTGTATGAGCTTCTCTCTGGAGGTAAGAGTTAGTTGCTTCCATGCTTCTTGCTCAATCTTTGGAATTTCTGTGTGTTGATTTAAGTGTATTGTGATGTGCAGAAGTTGATGTGTGGGAGATTGCTCCTCGTTTCTCGGATTTGCTTACAAACACAGGAATCCAGTTTCTCCGAGATAGAGTCAAATCGCTGCTTCCTTGTGACCACTTAGGAGTGAATGGCTCTGAAAGTTCCGTTACTGGAGGAACCGTCTTGCTTGAAAGCGGTTTTAACATTGAATACGATTGGTACCATGTTTTACACAACCCTGATATATGGAAAACTATCTCATGCTTCTGTTTTGTTGTTGTTTTTAGACTCCTAAACTGTGTATATGTATCTGGACTCAGTATCTTTCTTTTCTACAGCTAGGCTGGTTCTTGCTCTTGGCGCTGAACCCAAGCTTGATCTTGTTCCTGGCGCAATGGAGTTTGCTTTACCGTTTTACACTCTTAACGATGCTATTGTAAGAGTTTAAGTTTGGATTGTTTTATTTCTGAATTATAGGACTCTTCTTCTAAATCATGGTTGCTACAATGTCATTGCAGAGGGTGAACGAGAAGCTTAGCAAATTGGAGAGGAGGAATTTCAAAAACGGCTCTGCCATTAAAGTAGCTGTCGTTGGATGCGGCTACGGAGGAGTTGAGTTAGCTGCAACCATATCAGAGAGACTGCAAGACCGTGGAACAGTGCAAGCCATTAACGTGTCCAAGAGTATATTACCATCAGCTCCTGATGGCAACAGAGAGGCAGCTATGAAGGTATTGTCATTTCAATTTACATCTTGTTTAGAACGAGTAGAGATGCTAAAGTAAACTCTGTGGTTTAGGTTCTTACGTCGAGAAAAGTCGAGTTACTCTTGGGTTATCTAGTTCAATGCATAAAGAAAGCAGCAACCGATTCAGAAGAAGATGGAGGAGGGTATTTGTTAGAGCTACAGCCTACCGAGAAAGGAGTAGAGAGTCAAGTTATAGAAGCTGATATGGTGTTATGGACGGTTGGGACTAAGCCTTTGCTTACCGAACTAGAACCTTCAGGTCCTAGTGTCCTTCCTTTGAATGTTAGAGGACAAGCTGAAACAGACGAGACACTCCGTGTCAAAGGACATCCTCGGATTTTCGCATTAGGTGACTCTTCTTCCTTGAGAGACTCAAACGGAAAGCTTCTTCCTACAACAGCTCAGGTTGCTTTTCAAGAAGCTGACTTCACTGGCTGGAATATATGGGCTGCTATTAACAACCGACCTTTGTTACCATTCAGGTAAAAGTGAAAAAAAAACATTTTAACTGTGGCCTGTGTGATGAAAACATAGTTTTAAGCTCTTGTGGTAATTTTTTTTTTGCAGGTTTCAGAACTTGGGTGAGATGATGACTCTTGGAAGATATGATGCTGCTATTTCACCGAGTTTCATTGAAGGGCTCACACTTGATGGTCCGGTTGGTCATGCAGCTAGAAAGTTGGCGTATTTGATCAGATTACCAACTGATGAACACCGGTTTAAAGTAGGAGTCAGCTGGTTTGCTAAATCTGCTGTTGAATCGGTTGCTTTACTTCAGAGCAATCTTGCCAAGGTCTTTTCTAGTTCTTGATTTCAAAAATGGTTCCTTATGATTAGACAAATGTATCAGTTTGCAAACTCTGAGGATTGATATCTAAAATTAATAAAAATTTATGAATGCATTGTCATACATGAGAAGCAATCTCACTCGGTAACATTTTTATATACACATCCTCGTGAATATGGCATTCGGTTTTCGATTCGGCTCGGTAACAAAAACTTGAATACCAGTTAATATGTAATTTGGAACCGATACCAGTTAATTACCTGAAGTAATTTTGGATGCCATTAGTTCCGGTTTTTTTGTTAATTCGGGTTTTTTTCTTGAAATACTGATTAGTTTGGGTTCAAATATAAAAAAGAAACTGGAGGTTTTTTTTATTAATTATCAGATTTTTTACGTTTTTGGATTAAACTTGAGTAATTTAAATAATTTTAAATATTTCAGATAAAGTTTATTTGGATTATAATTTATATATTTAAATTATTTAGTTATTTAAAATTAAATATAGTTACTCTCTCTGTTTCATTTTGTTGTCATTCTAGGTTTTTACACACAAATTAAGAAAAAATTTAATTTTACATATCTTAAAGATAAAACACAATTACCTATATACCTAACTATTTTAAAGATAAAACACAATTCTCCAGAATGACAATTAATTTCTATTGGTTGAAAAGTGGTTAGGTGTATAAGTAATTGTGTTTTTTTTCTTGAAAATATGTAAAATTAATTGTTTCTTTAATCCGTGTACACAGCTGTAAAGTGACAGTTATAATAAAACAAAATGAAGTATAAAACTAATAAATTTTACCTCGAAACTTTAAAATAACATTTATTTTGAAACAAATTTTTTTCTCTAAAATGACAACTAATTTGAAACATGAAGTAATAATTATAAGTATAGGAACTATATTACAAAAATTCAGATATGCATTAAGTTCTCGTTCAGTTTGGTTTTAGTTTTGTCGAGTCTAAAAACATTAGGGTAATCAAGAATCTAAATCCAAACCAAACCTCGTTTTATGATTCAATTCAGTTCAATTTTTTTTTATTTCAGATAAATTTGTTCATGACTCTTTCATCACATTATAATAATCTTTCAAACACACAGTTGTCTTTCAGCATTCTTTGTTATGTTTCCATGCGTTTCTCAACTGTTAATCACATTTACTAATTGATGATGTATGATTCCAAACTTTACACGAAATTTCATTCGTAACGTCTATGAAAAGTTCTCACTCCATATTCCACACGACGTCGAAAATAAATAATGAGACAATGAACTTACATTAATGGACATTTAAAATAATTAATGAGATGACGTCAACAAATAATTAGTCAAACGTTAAAAGATTTCTTCCTAAAAATATACAGATAATCTCAAACCTCATTGGTTCTCTGTATTTTTAAATTATTAACAAATCTAAAAAAAAATAAAATCTAAAGAATATCTTTCTCAGTAAGTAATTTTTCTTGTTCCTATTTAAGTAGATTACGCTAGCTAAGAACCTCATCAAAACCAGTAATCTAATCCTAAATCGCAGTAAATCTCCAGCCTCTCTACTTTCTCTCTAAGCTGTTGGTTTAGCTTGAACCCCACGCTACTAAGCGTTCTCCGACGCAAGGTAAAGTCATTATAAAACCTAAACTCTCCTTCCATCGATTTACAAAACTTACTTCGCAGTTCTTTTCTCTCTAGGGTTTTGAATTTTCACATTTTCTTGTTTTTTTTTTAATAATAGTGATGGAATCAAATGGGCAAAGACTCTACTCTGTTCTCACGAGAGCAGAGGTTCTTGACAAGATGATGAAAGAGATCTTTCAGATCTCAGAAGTCTTCTCCATCTCTCAACCCGATGCAACCCTAACCCTAATCCGTTTAGGTTGGGACTCGATTAGGGCTTCGGATCTTTTGGGAGACAACAAGGAGAAGTTTCTTTCGAAACTAGGGTTGGATGATAATAATCTTGTCTCCACTCCCTTGTGCTCACACAAGTTTTGCTCAGATTGCTGGAAAGATTATCATCTCAGCAAATCTCTCGAGAAAGAGGACAAGAGTGAGATGATCCAAGACTGTGTCGTCTCCGTTGGTCACGATACGGTCGAGGAGATGTACGAGAGGTACGTTCTTGGATCTTTCATGGATAGTAACAAGATCAAGTGGTGTCCTGCTTCGGGATGCGTGTACGCGATCCAGCGTCATGGCGGCGCTGAGGATGATGATGACGAGGAGGAGAAGGAGGAGGAGGAGACTAGTGATGATGATTTTGGTGTGGTGTGTTTGTGTGGACACACGTTTTGTTGGAAGTGTAAGCTCGAGTCACACCGTCCCGTGACGTGTAACAACGCTTCACTTTGGTTGAATGAACTCTTGGAAGAAGCGAGAACGCTTAGCCTTTACCCTAAAACGACAAAGCCTTGTCCTAGTTGCAACACTAATGTTCAAAAGCTTAGTAATGTTGATTGGAAGATCGTTACTTGTGTCTGCAGGTTTGTTCTGTTTTCCCTCTTTTTCCTTTTTTTATTATTAGAATCTGTTTTTGAAACTCATTTGCTTTTTTTCTTGTTTTACGTGATCATCATCAGTCACGCCTTTTGTTGGAGGTGTTTGCGAGAAGAGGAAGATCACCACGAATATATTCGTTGTTCTAAAGTCCATGTGCCTCCACCAAGCAATGAAGTGTCTCTCCTTCATCACCTGACACTCTGGGAGGAGTATGATAAAGCAATTGAGGCATCTAAAGACGATCTTGAAGCCATTGAGCTACACATCATACCGATGCTAACTTCGAGACGGGGTCTGGGAGAGTTAGACATGAGGGCTCTGAGAGAAGCGTTAGTGCTGATTATTCAATGCAGACTTGTGTTGAAATGGAGTTGTATGTTTGGTTACTTCTTAACCGATTACCATAGCGGGAAGAAGAAGTACTTGGATCACCTTCAGGAGGTAGCCACCGCAAATCTTCTGAAGCACAAAGAGAGTGTATATGAGTTGGTGAATGGTGAGGATGTGACTGGTTTCAGGCATAAGGTGGAAACGTTAACGACAGCAACTGGTAACTACTTTCATTACTTTGTCAAGACTGTTGAAGATGGTTTGAGTGATGTGAAGGGTGGTGTCTTTGAGGATGTAGCAACTGATTACTGGTTCTGTGATCGCTGCACGTTTCAGAATGATAGTTTTGAACAGAAGTGTAGGGTTTGTGTTTTCCCTTTTGAAGGACCTTCTCCTCTTGTGGCTAACAACAACAACGGTGTTGCTGTTGCTCATCAACAACTACTCCCAAACGTGTCTTTTGATGTCAACAACAGTGCTGCTGCGAGTGGTGAAGGAGGAACTGATCATGTGGCGTTTGGTAACAACAACAATGCAAGTGGTGTTCAACAAGGAGTTCCATACATGTCTAGCAACCCCTTTTCTCCTCAGCCAGCTCCATTTGTGGCTTTTGGTAACAGTGATGACAGTGTTCATCAACAACAAGTTCCAAACATGTCCAACAATCCATTCGCTCGTGAAGGAGGAGGAGCAAATGTTTTCGAGTCTCGTCCTGTGGGTTTTGGTGTAAGTGGTTATCAGCAACAGAAAGTCCCAAACATGATGGCGAATAGTGCAGGAGGACCATCCTACTTTCCAATGCCTCCTCCAAGTGTGGTGACTTATGGTAACAACAGCATTGGTACTACTGCAAGTGCTAATCAGCAACCAAACATGGTCAATAATCCATTTGCTCAAGGACCAATCTTCTATCCGTGTCCTCCTCCATTTGTGGCTGCAAGTGCTCATCAGCAACCAAACATGGTCAATAATCCATTTGCTCGTCAAGAAGTACCAATCTTCTATCAGTTTCCTCCTCCATTTGTGGCTGCTAGTGCTCATCAGCAGGAACAAGTCCCAAACATGGCGAACCTTAACCCATTTGGTCGTCCAGGAGGAGGAACATATCAGTTGCAGTCTCCTCCATTTATGGCTTTTGGCAACAACAACAACAGCGGTGCTACTGCAAGTGCTCATCAGCAGCAAGCTCCAAACATGATGGTGAACAATCCTTCAGAGTTAGGTAACAACAACAGCAGCGCGAGTGGTCATCAGCAACAAGCCCCAAACATGCCTAATCTCGTCAAGGAGGAAGCCAACCTTGAAAATTCGAATGAGAGCGAGTGGTGATGATGATGACTGAATGATGCGCTTTCTGGTTTCTTTTGTTTTTCTTTTAGGGTTTATAATAAGTATACTATTGTCTCTCTCTTTTGCTTTGTTTTTTTAGGGTTCGTTTTGTTGTTTTTTCCTTGTTGAAAACGCAAACAATATGGTTTCGTTGCTATTTTGGATAAAAACTTTGTTTACAATCAGATTGTTTTACTCCGTCTTTGCATTTAACAGTTAACCGGAAAACAAACATTTAAAAAATATAAAACATTTCATGATTTGTACAGGATTAAGTGTATATAATTAAAAATAAAAATAAAAAGTATTGAAGAAGACGAGTGATTTTTCAACCACACATTCTGTAACTCGTAAAGAAGAATATAATATTATTAACAGGATAAAGACAAAAGAGAAATCTGGTGGATGAGAAGATATAACGGTCACACAGTAGTCTTCTCTTCTAGCAACAGTTGCTTTTGATCAATCTCACTGGCACATTTCGTCGAACACCTTTGCTCCATGTCCGTGAGCAAGCTTCCACTTCTCTCCCATGGCGTTCACTCTTTCAATTTCGCAAAGGAAGCATTGTCTCTAAGTGTGTTGCTCCCATGTCCCTCCCATATTCGATTATTCTCGGCCACAGCGATCGGTAAATGTCGAGGAACGAGACATAGTAGAGGAGGTGATGAGAAGAAAGAGAGTGGATTGAGTTTCGTTGAGGACGACGATGAGGAGAGAGGAGGAGAGAGAAAAGTGAGGTGTGAGGTGGATGTGATCTCGTGGAGGGAACGGAGGATAAGAGGAGAGATTTGGGTGGATTCTGATTCTCAATCCGTTTGGGATGTTCTCACTGATTACGAGCGTCTTGCTGATTTCATCCCTAATCTCGTTTCTAGGTAAAAAGTTAAAAAAAAAAAAAAAAGAGTCTGCTTCAAATATCCATTTTTTTAGTCTGGTTCTGCTTTTGTGTGATAATCCACAACGGTTTAGTGAATACAATCACACTTATTCTCCATGAGAATGCAAATCTCTTTGCTCTGAAGATTCTCTGCTTCAAAAGATTCAGTTTTGTAGTCTTGTTGTGCTTACGTTGGAGAATTTTGTGGGAATGTTCATGACATATAAATAGTTTTAGTGAATACGATGACACTAACTTACCTCTCTTTGTTGAGTAGTGTAGATGCTCTTCCTGTTTTCGAAGTTCAATTGATTTGATTTAGGTAGAGATTATCTGCTGCTTCTCCTCTCCTACTGCTGAAATGTTTTAACTGGTGTTATGTATATGTGTTGTACGATGATGCTAACTTGACTTTGATGCTGGTTGTTTCAATCATCTAGCGGAAGAATTCCTTGTCCACACCCAGGGCGTATATGGCTGGAACAACGAGGCCTTCAAAGGGCGTTGTACTGGCATATTGAGGCTCGTGTTGTTCTCGATCTCCATGAGTGTCCTGATTCTGTGAGCCACTCTTAATCCTTTTACTTTTCTCCTGCCAATATGATTACGTAGAAAACCTGAAACTCTCTGCCACATTATCTGATCTTGTTTTAAATCATGTATTAGCTTTTGATAAGAATTTATAGGTTGCTTTTATACTGCACGACTGTAATCCTGATTTCTCAAAAACTCATGAATTCAAGAAAAAAAGTTCCTGTATATTCAAAAGTCCATGTTTCTATCATTCTTAGTATTCTCCTTTAGACTTATTTGCACTCCTTGCGCTGGGTATAATGTTTCTCAACCCACACATGTCTATAAAATTAGTCTCATGCTGTTTTTTCTGTTTACCATCGTTTTAGCCAAATGGTGGTGAGCTTCACTTCTCTATGGTAGATGGTGATTTCAAAAAGTTTGAGGGAAAGTGGTCTGTGAAATCTGGTGTCAGGTACATCCATTAACCCCACGAAGGAAGTTTGTCTGCATAAATTTATGATCCTAACATCAGTGATTCTCTTTTTCTGTAATGAAATCTGTGAATCCTCTGCGTATCAGAGAAGTTGCATCTCTGAACAGACTGTTATGTGTGTTTCTATAAACGTCTATGCTCTATACATTTACATCTCTCTTTCTCCAGGTCTGTAGGAGCTGTCTTGTCATACGAAGTAAACGTACTCCCACGATTCAACTTCCCTGCCATCTTCTTAGAGAGGATAATCAGATCCGATCTTCCTGTAAATCTCCGAGCCGTAGCTCGCCAGGCTGAGAAAAATTATAAACGTCGCGAAAAACCGTCAATAATAGACGGTCTGTTGGGTAGAACGTCAAACTCTTCTCATGATGTTGAGTTTGATAGTCCGGTTATTGAGACATCGCCTCCCTCCAGTGTTGGATCATTACCTCATTCAAATGAATTGAACAGTAGTTGGGGCGTGTATGGAAAAGTCTGTAAGCTTGATAAACCTTGCACCGTGGACGAAGTTCATCTTCGTAGATATGATGGACTATTGGTAAGTAGGTTGTTCCAAAGAAACATTTAAACAGTTTCTCCCTTCTTGTGGTAATTTGATGAGTGGTTTTATTTGGATGAAGGAAAATGGAGGTGTACACCGCTGCGCCATTGCTAGTATAACAGTGAAAGCTCCGGTTTGTGAAGTTTGGAAAGTCTTAACTGCTTATGAGAGACTCCCAGAGTAAGAACAATATGGTTTGTCAACTTTACTTTTGTGTTAGTCTTTAGTAAATATTGTCTGGTGGCTTATATATCTCTTGTTCATGTGTGCCTTTGTTATTTACGGGATCTATCAGTATAGTTCCAAATTTGGCAATTAGCAAGATCTTGTCACGCGAAAACAATAAAGTCCGAATACTTCAGGTACAAGCACTCTCATCTGCAATAACCTTTTAATCGAACCTTGCAAGAAATAGTAGAATACATTGTTACTGGTACTTAAAACACTTGCCAAGCCAATGTTTCTATAAAAGGTTTCTAGATATTCTATAATTACACCGAATCCTGTCTGCAGGAAGGATGCAAAGGCCTGCTTTACATGGTGCTTCATGCGAGAGCTGTTCTGGATTTGCATGAGACTCGTGAACAGGAAATCAGATTCGAGCAGGTTGAAGGAGACTTCGACTCGCTCGAAGGGAAATGGATTTTTGAACAATTAGGAAACCATCACACCCTTCTCAAGTATACCGTGGAGTCCAAAATGCGGAAAGATACATTTCTTTCTGAAGCAATTATGGAAGAGGTTTGGTTAACAGTTGCATGTATTCAGTCTCATCCTTTTTTTTCTTATTGTAACTGCAATGTTTCTCTCTGGATCTTTTCAGGTTATTTATGAAGATCTTCCATCAAATCTATGCGCAATCAGAGATTACATCGAGAAAAGAGGAGAGAAGTCTTCAGATACATGTAACGTGGAGACTTGTCATGTTTCGGAAGAAACATGTTATTCATCTCGTGACACATCAACGGAGACCGTCAAGAACAGTAATGATTGTGAGGACCAAACTAAACAGAGAGCAAGGATTCCCGGTCTGCAAAGAGACATCGAAGTGTTGAAATCAGAGATACTCAAGTTCATATCAGAACATGGACAAGAAGGATTCATGCCCATGAGAAAGCAGCTGAGGTCACACGGAAGAGTTGACATCGAGAAAGCCATTACAAGAATGGGTGGATTCAGGAGAATAGCTGTGATGATGAATCTTTCACTTGCTTATAAATACAGAAAACCAAAAGGGTATTGGGACAATCTGGAAAACCTGCAAGAAGAGGTAAAAGTTTCTCCACATGTTCAGAATCATAGTCACTCACTATTAGCCTTCAGGGTGTTTGCATTGGTGTTTACAAGAGCTAGCTCTTCCTCTGCTCCTGTGTTTGTAGATAGGAAAATTTCAACAGAGTTGGGGAATGGATCCATCGTTTATGCCGAGCAGGAAAACGTTCGAACGTGCAGGTACCACAAACAGTGAACTCTCAGATTAGACTTTGCATGTTAGTTAGAAAACCAAAGTGGTGCGTGTTGTTTCAGGTCGTTATGACATAGCACGTGCGCTAGAGAAATGGGGAGGGTTACACGAAGTGTCTCGTCTTTTAGCGTTGAACGTGAGACATCCAAGCAGACAGCTAAATTCTCGTAGAGACAGCACGATACAGAGAAGCGAATCTAGTGATACCGATTTAAACTCGACGCTTAATAGTAAGAAAAACAAACCATATGTCTCCCAAGATACAGAGAAATGGTTGTACAAACTTAAAGATCTTGACATCAATTGGGTTCAATAAACTTTTTATATAAACTTTTTCTTTTGGATAAAATGTAAATATATAAACTATTTTGTTATTATTTAGTCTTGAATAGTTTTTTAGTCAAATTTATAATTACTAAGGTGGATAAAAAGTGAGAGCATAGAACTATAAAGAGGATAATAGAGAAGAACTATAAAGAACTAAAAAGGTTCGTGACTGAAGTTTGATGGTGATGGTTTTAAGAAAAGATAAAAGTCTCGTCATTGTCTTCAATATGACATGAACTTACACGTAATTAGAAGCAAACTTCTTTTCTAGGTTTTTGATTATTGAAGAGTTCAGAGATCGTGACCCGTGACTAAAGACTAAAGAAAGAGATAAGAGAGTTTGGCTGTGAAAAGGGAAGAAACCTTTTAAATGTTATAAACAAAATGAAAAGAAAAGAGTAGCAATTACTATGTAAAATGTTGCTTGCATAAATCCAGACTAACCTAAAATCTTGAATCGTTGGCATATAAATAAATTACATCTTTATTATAATGATGCAAATTTGATCAAATAAGTTTTTTTTTAGACTTGTTTACTTCCTAAATTATAAGGTTCATCACTAGCTAAGTGATGGAATGAACCTACTTCATGCCCTCGAGCCAGAAAACATTCCTCTCAACCCTAAACCATAGGAGGAGATAACTTTATATGCAAGAAGACAGAAAGAAGACGAAGGTAATGCAGGTATGTTAGAGAAAAATAAATCTATAAGTTTGTCTCTCTTTATATATGTAGAGAGAGAGAGAGAGAGGAGCAAATGCCTGCAAGACCAAGATTTTCATATTTACTCTTTCTTTACACCAATTTAGTAATTTTCGGAGTCCGGAAAGTGTTGTTATTTTTTGGTTACCGTCTTGATATAGTGTGCGAAGGTTTACCTAGAATAGAATTTTACAGTGAAATTCAAATTTGTAAAGTTTAAACATACTCCAAATTGGACATTCGTTCAAACTTC